ATCGGCTGAGAAAACGCGTGCGAAACGTGTTGAAAAGGCATGTTAATGCGCCATATGTCCGGTCTATCATCGCAGTCAACTTGTGACGAAACTATAAAAAGTCTGGCCGCTTCACGGAGTAGAATGCGATGTGATCTTTGGGCATTAACCTGGCCCGCTCGCCCCGCTCGATAATTGCGTAATTTGTTTAGCATTTCTGTTTCTGCTGCTCTCAGTCGCTCAGATTCAGATTCAGATTCTTCGCATCTTTTCGCTGTTTTGTTTTGTAGTTTGCTTTTGCGCTAGGTGTGAACTCAGCGGAAATGTGCTTTAAATACAGATACACTGAAAGAATTCTATTTACTATTGCGAACCCTTAATCTCTACATTAAAAGGTACTATAGGTCAATCGCTAAATAGATAATTCTAAGCACACACTTTAGCTATTAAATTTAATGGAATTGAACTAGGAATACGTTTTAAACTTATTGCCATTCGATCTCATCTAAGTGTGTTTAACTTCAGTTTTCCGTAATAGTGTCTTTACCTTAGCCCTTATCTGATGACTGAACTTTGGGTGCGAGTGAATTTCTCAGGCATCCCGCTTAGTCTTTGGATAATGACTCAAAGTGTTTCCATGTAAGACAAGACACTTTGGCGTGTGATTATCTCATCAGGCTTGAGGCCCGCCGCGGGCCACATGTACTTGTATCTTGCGTCTTGCATCTCATGAATATGCAGCTACATGCGCCTGCATCCGATAGATAGATGCAAGCCAGCTGCAGCGGCATTTGCAAGTGCCAACATGCGCCACATCAATCCGCAGCTGGTGGAGCACGTTGAGCGTTTGATTAATTTAATGACAATGCCCGGTGGCGCTTTAGTGTGGTGCCACCCATGGAAACTTAGATCCATGGATACAAGTGCAGGCGGGTGAGATCAACTTTTCCAAACTACGATGAAATCGGCGGCAATTACGGCCATTTCCTAGCTCACTTCCTTGCGCGCCAAATGCCGCTGATTAGTCATTCGATCCGTTGATTTATTTTAAAGCTCCGCTAAATATAAACCTTACGTTCTTGTCAATATTCCACGCTCTCTGCCTATTGTTTTTAGCTTTCTCTCTATTTCAGCAGCACATTTGCTTTATAAACATTTTTATTCGTTTGAAGCGTCGCTTGACGTCACAACAACTGGCCGAATTGTGGGATCTTGTTTTTCAGCTTGTTTATCTGTATCTTTGCGTTTGCAATTGCCAAGGCGGTCAAGGTGGGGAAACAGAAATGCCATAAATATTTCTCCCCGGTTCCTGCACTAAACAATCGGTATGTACTGGTCGCCAGCCTTGGTTAACCACAAACAACGGAAGAACACATCGTAGGAGGCATATGACGAATTGGTTCAAGGAACTCTGGTGTCATCGAAGAATGCAGCGAAAGAAAAACAAATCATTGATCATGACAAATACAATGGATTCTTATAGGATCTCTGAACAAGCGGTGGAATATGACGAATAACTAGAATATTAATAACATCCTTTTGTTATCATTTCCAGTTAGTAACCCAAAAAGGAACCAGCCAAAATGCCCAAGCCCCTGCTCAACTCCTGCTGCCTGTGCCAGTCGACCCGGAATGGTTCCGTCATTTCCGGCGTTCTGGCCATCATCCTGTCAATCATCACCATCGTTGTGATCTTCACGACGAGAGTGCATTTCAAGACAATCGTCTTTGATTTTATTCCTAATGACATTGTAAAGATAATACTCGTCATCAATCTGTGCATGACCATCCTGATATCACTGCTCATGATTGCCGGTGTCCTCAAGGTAAGTTAACCAGAAACACCCACTTCGGACACTACTTAATCAGAGTCTCCTTCCAGCGCAACCACTATCTCATGGTGCCTTGGGTGGTGCTGGGAATTATGATTGCGATCGGTCTCCTGATCTCCGTCATCTACACGGGCGTCGTTTTCTTCATCGATGGTTATGTGCTGACGGGCGTCCTCTGGCTGATCTTCGGATTACTTTGTTGCGGTAAGTGCACCACTCCTCCAACGCAGAAGCAATTGCCGGCGAGCGGCTGCTCTGTGTGCGGTTTTTAGCACCGGATGGCGGTTTATGCGCACCGTTTTTACTTTATTGACGCATTTATCATGCGTTGATTGCCCGTGCGCTGAAAGCCGAGGAGCCGGCGCCCCCAGGCCATAACTTGGTGTGGATCGGGATGCCAGGGGGTTGGGTTGGCGGCGGTGAAGCTGACAAACGAGGCGCGAAGTGGCTGCCATATGCCATTTGTACAACTGCCAAGTAGCGCGGATTAAAGTAATGGGGAGGAGAAGAAATCAGCCCATTAATAAGCTGTTTTAATGGTCCTCAAAATGTGACAAGAATTAAGGGATATAAAGCGACTAGTTTTATGTTTAATTATTCCTTAAGTGTAGGGGGAAATAAAATGCAAAATTCTTTCAATGCATCTAGAAAACATTCTGGACATTTTAAAATTCAGAAAGCATACTGCAAAAACTGTCATTATTTAAATGCTATGTATAAGGAACAATTTAATTACTTTCTTTTTTAGTTTACCTGGGGTTTTCATTAGTTTGATTTAAACACAAAGCACGCAACAAATTGAACGATAATATGAATAATTTTTGGTCACATATTAACTAAACTATCCTAGCATTATAAATGTTTCATCATCATATTTTAAAATTGTCACTTTCTCTTACAGCAATCCTTACTTACTGCTGGTGTGTGGTGTACAGCGAGTATGCCAATCTGTCCGAGGAGAACGAGAGAGGTCGTTACAACAAACAGCCGTACCGCCGCTGAGAATAACTATCTGCGGATCCGGCGGATCAGCATTTGTCACCACCATTTGCATTCTAGAAGCAAACCCTCATACAACACCCCCATCATCCTAGCTGCTTATGTTCGTATTTAGTGACTACGTCTAACTAATAATTGTAATTTAATTAATTGAGGCCAGAGAGGAGCCAGCTCTTCGCTCATATCGAATTTATGCGGCCCGCGGCAGTAAGTGCAATGGAATAATGTATTTAACATTTAAATAAAACTTTAATCCAGATATTTTTTGAATTTCTGTTGTAATTTGTACGTCAATAACTGTAATTGTGAATGGATGAGATTGGAAACCGAAAAATTCAAATATTAACACGTAAAAAATAAAAACAAACTGTTTGTTTATTTATCAACCGTTTGAGAGCACGAGGTCTTCTGTGTTTGTTGTGGTTTTTTATTTCAAAATATATAGTTATCTTTAGGTATATATAGTTATATTCAATTCTCTCAAAGTCTATCAAAATTGTAAATTAACTAAAAATATGGGTGTGTAGTAGTGGGGGCGTTTCATGTGGTTGTTTGTTGTTGTTTTTTGCTAAGTGGGCGTGTTCCAATGTAACTACGCAAGTAACTAGCTCTAAACCGAGCTCTACAGCTCGTTGTGCGCATACTTGGGCTTCAGCTCCTCGATGCGCTTGATGAAGTCGCCCTTCTCCAGGCAACCGTCACAGCTCTCGTCCCAGTCGTTGAGTATCTTCTTCAGGTCCCGGACCTTCAGTTTCTTCAGGTCCACGTTGTTCAGATCGATTTGTTTCTCTGCGAATGTAAATATTCGATTTGTATAGGTTTTCTTACGTTAACAAGAAAATGTTAAGATAATTTTCTTCAGATTATGGTTAAAATAAAAGTGTATAAATTAAAATGGAAACCGGCTATATTTAGCATCGGCATCCTTGATTTGGTGTCTTGAAAAATTCGTTAAAATAATCAGTCTTTAAATCTGCACCAAGGTTAGTCCTCTGGCACGTATTTCTTTGCATTTACAAAAGGTATAGAATCTAAATGCAGGTAATTATCTTGAAGGGAGATTGCAACATTTTGTATAATCACTAATTTCATTCATGCTGAGCTGTACCTATGTAGGTGCAACTACCTAGCTTCTTTCTTTCACTCAACGAACTAATATTATATTTACCATAGCGCAGGTCACAAATTTGCGCGTCCTTCTTCTTCAGCTTCTCACAGATCTTCTCCGCTGGCATTGACCAGCTCAGGGGCTTGCTCAGCTCGTTCAAAATGCCCGTGGCGGATTCCTCCAGGCCGCCGAGGTAGTAGCACTACGTGGAAGAACGAATAGCATACGTGGAACATTAGTGAAGTGCGGGGAAGGGGCAGTTGTTTGCCGGCTACTCACGAATCTGTGCTCCTTGTTCTTCTGTGTCTTGCAGTACTTCTTGAAGGCCGTCTCGATCTGCTTGTAGTCCTTCTTGGTGGCCTCGTCCAGCGAGTCCGAGAACCGCCGCACCGTCTTGACACAAACTGAAAATCGGCAGAGGCCGGTGAAAATCGGTCCAGAACACCTTTACCACTTACGTGGCCATCCTCCATCACATACCTTCGCAGTCCTCCTCTTTGAGGGCGAGAGACGTTTGAACGAGTCCCGCCAGGAAGCAGACCAATACCACCATGTGCGACGTCCTCATTTTTATGTCTTTCAACTTTGCTGGGTCTATCTTTAATTTATAAAACAATCTGCAACAACTTTGATTTCGTGTAATTTGTTAGTAGAGACGGTTTGACGACTCACGATAATATCGATATATCGAATACTGAAAATATCGGAAGCCAAAAACAGCTGTTCGCAGACTCCGAAAATATCAGCTAAGTATCGTATAAGGAATCCCCTAATTATTTAACAACGCATAGTTTAAAAAATGTTTTGACAAGCTAACATTTTAGCAAATGAAATAATAATAAAAGTAAATGTATCAATGCTAGTTCATAAGCGTTTATTACGCCTTTGGGAGCTTTTATTGTTCAATTTTCAAGAGATTTTTTGACTTTACAGGTAATCGTTTTTTGTGGCGCGAAATTTAAATAAACCAGATAAACTGCTAAAATTTTCTGAATAGCAATTATGTCCTACAATTTTAAACGATTGTTTATAAAAATACTTTGAAAAAATTTTAGATTTAATTGCTTATTTTAACCCAGTAATCCTTGCATTTAGGCCCATCGAAATTTATTCTATTTTTAAGTCCACAGCTTATTTTAACTGGTTTGGCTGTCTAGGAAAATTCAAAATCAAAATGTCCGAATATAATACGAAATCAATAAGCGAGGGGGCTCTTCCCGGTAAGCTATTTATAGAGATAATTTGGGATCTCTGTGTAGTTTAGGAATGGGCTTAATAATTCTCAATTAATTCAGTAGATCAGAAGTGCAGCTTATTTTATTTTCGGTTTATTTCCTCTTAGTATTCCCTGAAGGTGTCGATGAGAAGGAGCAAAGTCGTCGGCTAAGTTCTTATCTCCAGAGCCTACGCGACCGCCTGCGATGGGCTCTTCAACAGAACCAGGAAGCTATTTCGTCGTCGATGAAGCTGCTCAAGGAGGTGGGTGATATAAGCGGCGTGCTGCTGACGAAGTCTGGTTCCCAGATACCGGCTACCAAGATCCGACGTCTGATCATGGGGTTTGAGGCTGTGAGTGGGTCGAACATATCCCAACATTCCACAGTGCCAGAAATCCCTTTGTCCAATGATCTGACCGGGACTAGGGCTCTTCTGGTAGAGTTTGAGACTCTAAACGAAAGTCAAATTCTAAGGGAAAGCATTGTCAGCTTCAAAAGTGCCGCAGAGTCACTGGAGAAGGTTCTTACTGTTCTGGAGAAACCGAAGAATCAGGCCAGCCAACTTAGTACGAAGCCACAAGCTAGTCAGCACAGCACCCGGCGGAATCTCCGCGAGAAGATAGAGGCCTTTAATAAGGGAGAGAAGCTTGGCGACAACTGCCGTCATTTTACCAATTGCTTCAGGACCTCCCCGAGTACGGATGAAATGCAGAATGCCTTCGAAGGCAATAATGCGTCCAATAATGCCTCAAAAACGAACTCGGGATACGAGGGCGATGTCGATACTGAGGCGGAGTTGGCTGACAAGTCAAGCAATGACAGTGGATTGCGCCCAAAAAAATAGGGATCATCAATTAACAAGGGTTTTACTGAATATAAGAATCAAGGCGGAGTTGGCTGATACGAGAAGCAATGACACTGGATTCCCCACCAAGGAAAGACCATCAGCATCATCACTGATTTTACTCAAAATTTTATAACTGTGGACATATTATTAGGTATTTTATAGCAATAAAAATTAAATCAAATCAATCAATCCCTGGTTTTAAATCAAAATTCAAAATCCATAAAGTGGAAATATTAATTTATCAATCATACCCTTCAGGTTATATATACATCAGCATTAAAAGCTGAATCGATCTAGCCATGTCTGAAGGAAAAAAATTTTAATTATTAAATTTTTAAATGATATTTTAAAAGCTTTGATTTACCCAAAAAAGTATATCATACGTATCATAGAACTATTGTTACATATTAAGGAAAACTGTAAATGTAAATATAATGTGTAGTTAAAACCGAATTTGTCCCATCAAAAAGCTCGAAAAGAGAACGTAAACAAATGCTTACGATTCTCTGCGGAGACCAGAATGGATTTTCTAACAGGTGTGGGGTATCATTCAGCTGCGGGTCGGCTCTCGGTCTCTCGGAACTGTATTCCTGCTCAGTTTTGAATCACCCGCGATAGCGTTCGGACAGGGCAACGACGCTTCTTAACGAAAAAGCTGAACAAATATGTACCCCCGAACGTACTTTACCCGTGACGTCTTAGCGGCTCCCAGATCCCCTTTCGCGCTCCCTTAAAATAGCCGCGTCTTTGTGCAAGCCCCAACAGTAGTGTCCCAGTTGGCCAAGTGCTAACTGCTCCGCCGCCGGTGATTAGAGTTATCGTAACCGTTAGCAACTGCCACAGCAGATTCGCCAAGCACTGTTAACATTTGACCGGATATAATTTGCAATTACACATACTAAATACCAGCAGCACCAGCCTAAAAATAAACCCAAATAAGATGCCTGATGTAAAGTTCCTCTGCGTGCTGCCCACCAATGCCAATGCCTCCGACCGCGTGACCAGCCTTTCCGTCACCGGCACCCTGCTCCAGGATCCACAGCAGTAAGTCCTGCCTTAGAACTTTAAGAAAATCGATTAGACGCAGCTAAATATTAGCTCTTTGCGTGCAGAAATTTAGTGCCCTAAAAAAAGTTGTTAGTATATGACCCGATTTATTTAGAATTTAATTCTCACGAGTTCGGAAACGATTTATGGCTAACACATGAAACATACAGATGGGCTATGAAATTTGAATAATTTATGCTTGGATTCCCAGTTCTCTTTTTTAAGAATTCCAAAGGCCATTTATGAGTTTATGATCTATTAAGGCGATAAGGCAGCCGGCGATGATAGCAGACAATAAAGCAGCCATTAACACGTTTAAGACCCAAAATTCATTATTAACCCACATTATCAAAATGTCCATATTTTCCTACTAATAATTGCCTTAGCAAAAACTATTTTGAATCACGTTAAACATCGTAAAAATGTAAGCCATTTATTGGTTTTTAATTTATTTGTTCCTACCAAAGAAAAGCCTAATTTTGTAGGATTATTCAACTTGAAAATACTTTTGAAATCCCATAGAGATAACTATACCATTAAATTAAAATGTGGATAATTGGGAACTTAAAATATTTGTATTAAATTTTAATATTTCCTTCCGAATGTTAAACTTATATGGGTTAAATCCAAGCTGTCTGGTTTTACTGTATCAATTCCGACATCAATGACATCATCGGACGAATTAAATCAGACACGCGCTGAAGATGCCGGCAAACGAAGAAAACAACAATGAGTGTAGCCGTAACAAATGGTAAAGATGAAAGCGACGAAAAGAACAAGACGATTTTTGGGTGGGAAGTTCGTTAATCAGCTTATGAATAGTTAAATGATGTCAATAAATCAACCATTCCCTCAGTTACATCACTATGGAATCCGGGTTCTCCATTCATTGTTGGACAACAACTTCGTATATCATAATACAAGACCTTCGATTCGTTATCTCTTGTTTGGATCGATAAGACACTATTGATAGCTGCTACTGAAGTGTGTCATGAAAAGCTTCCTTCCCTGTCCGCTGCATTCTTGTAATTCTGGAACTTAGATAAGGTTCCTACAAGTTTCCCAGGAACTATCATTTCAGAGTGACTAAGACACACATTTTACTAAGAAATCTGAAATCCCTAATGGGCGGACGTCAGAAATTCCATTCCAAATTCCATTCCTTGAATGCTTTGCACGTTTTAGCGCCCACACACACGACTTTTGGGAGCCCCGGTCTCCAAACAAAAACTCACCGAACCGCCATGTGCCATAGAAACAATTATGATGACTAAGCAGTTGTCAGACGGAGGGTCAAACGTGCAAATCACTACGTCATTAACACGACTATGTGATGAATGGCGAGTTCGGGTTCCTTAAAAATGTCTGAGAACCCAAATGGGAATCAAAATAAATTGCCGGTTTTCCCGAAATAGCTTTTGTTTGCTTTCAAATTTTAGAAATTAGAATTACGTGATCCTAGGGAAATGAAAATAAGTTATTTAAAATAACCCAGCAATATAAGTTATAATCTTAGTAATATAAAAAGTTAAAACTAATACTCTTATGGTAAGAGTTTGAGAATTTTACCATGAACAATTTTAAAATATTTGAACAAAACGTTCGATTGCAATTTGTTTAATAAAGATTTCTGTAAACACCTCTGCTAATAGGTAAACAATTTTGCCTTTTGAATGAGAATTAAATCGTTCAATATATTGACATCAGTCATTAGATAATTTGTATGATAGTTAACAAGACACTCTAGCTGGGATGACTTGATAAATGATTCTTTAACAAGTTACCCAAAGCTTGAACTTGAAGGGCTAAAGTCGATTACGACGTCATTAGCACCTAGGTGGCATCTAAATAAAGCGAATCGCTAAATGTAATGGCTTTTTTCTCCCTTCCCCCGACAGATTCTCGGTGAACTTTGTCAACAGTCCGGATTGTACGGACAACATCACATACCACTTCAAGGTGATAATTCCCACGCAGACGATCGTCGAGAACTACAAGCGGAACGGCGAGTGGAGCAGCCTTCACCAGGAGAAGTACCTGAACATCTTCGACGGTACAGGCGCTAGCGATAAGAACCAAAATCTGACCCAGAGCTTTTCAAGCATTATGAACGAGATTGACGAGGCGCTCCAACTTTCATCCACAGAATCCTCGTTTTGCCTTGAGTTCGCCTTCGACTACGATAACTCCACCATGCGTGTTTACCAGGGCAGGGAGGCGGGTCATAATTTCATTACCGAGTACGAGACCCTCTTCTCCCTCTCCGATATCCAGGCGGTGCAGGTTTGGGGAGATGTGCAGAAGGTCAACCAGTTTTCCCTGACCTACAACTGATAGGGAGAGAGCCCCCACACCCGATCCCCAAGGTAGCCTCCCAAATTTCACCTATTTAAAACATTCTCCGCTCGATCGCTTCGATATGAGTTCGGTGGCGGGGCACACCTTTAGTCCTAACACTGCACGACTCTAATCCTTATCCCCTCATCCAGTAGTTCGTTTTCCTTAGTTTGTTGGATTGATTCGCACCCATATTTACACTTAGTTGGCCGTCTCAGTTGCTTGTTTTCTCTTCTTAATTACCTTATCCTTACTATAATTATAACTACAATTATTTATTATATTTAAAAGCCCTTTGAACGATGATAGATTTGCTCAAAACCTTTTATAACCTTTCAGGTTATTGTATTTAAGTCTGCAACGCAGTGAAATAATCATTTTTGACACTATAAATCATTTATATTTTTGATCAGCATCATCAGCCGAGTAAATCTAGCTAGCTTTTTAAAGTTAAATTTTATTGATAAACATAATTTATTTCGAATAATATGACTCCAGCATAGGCTGAAACTTGTGATTAAAGATTTTAGGGTTTACAGAGTTTTTATACAAATTGAACATTTCTATTATAATGTTGATATATCATTTAGTTAGTCTTTTATTTATAGTAAGAAAAATCAATAATTAAGATGCATTAATTAGGGATTAGGTTTTATAATACTTTCCTGCATTCATTTTCAAATTTTAATATTATTTTGCTTTACAAATATTTGTATTGTATGGTAAAACCTCTTTTGCCTTACCAATATCACCTGAAGACACAAATATGGGGACACGCGTAAATCGGAATATGTTATTTGTCACTCTTGAACACTCGTGTATTACCACCCACCCACACCATTCACTTGTAGTAAGGTCTTGGGGTATTATTTCCCCTATGACACCACTGATATATTGCTTATTGCCTTTAGTTGGAGTTACTGTTTCCCTTCGTTTATAGTTTGTAGTTTTTTGTTAATTGTTTGGCCAAAGAATTTCATGTATTATACACGTTAAATGTCTGTGCTTGCTGATTTTCGCCCACATAGTTTTTGAGCTGAGTTATATGTAATACCTACACACACATACCATGCCAAGTATTAAATATCGCCAATTGCGTAAACATACATAATCATCGGAAATTGGTTTTACTTTAATGCTAATAAATTTTCGGTTTCGGAAAACCGGCTGGAAACGGGCTTGCATTTGTTTTTCGTTTCTTCGTTCGCATGCTAGAGAGTAAGAATTACGAGCTCTTTCGGAAATCTTTCAGGAATCCGGACGGCCAGTGGATATTAAAGCGTCTGATATTCATACTTTCAGCAGCAGGGCGAGTCTTACCAAAAATATTCACGTAAACACACTGGGGCCAGCCTGGACGACCGCCCGCCCGTCCAGCTGCCACATGCTTTATAGCGCTACAAAAACTGAAGGCTCCTGTGCAATCCAAATAAAATACATACATACACACTATCTGCCATAAATTATATATTCTATTTACTTTCACAATGGAATCATTGTCTATTCACCCAAAAGAGGTAATTACCATCAACTTTGTTTTTAGCTTATACATACATTCATAGATACACTGATATTTACAATTTCTTTAAAATAACACACATTCTATAAGCCTATCTTAAAAGAACAGCTGGAATATCTAGCACTGCGGGTCACACTCAATAAAAGCATACTATAAAAACACAAAAGTAAACTAGAATAAGTTAAGGAGTTAAAATAATATTGCACAACGGGAAATAATAAGTACACTAAGTACTAACTAAAAAGCATTAAGGAACTGGGGACCAGCAACTGGAGTAGACGTAGACCGCGGACTAGGAAACGAGGTAAGCTGGAGTGTTGTAGCGAGGGAGTCTACTTGGCAAGCTTACATACTAACTGGTTGGTGGCTGGTGTGCTGGCATTTTGAAATTGCGGGAAACCAAGCTGCACAAAATTGGCCAGAGATGCGGGCATATTGGAGTCGGGTGCTTGGGTGATCGTTATGGTGTTCCCGGCCAGGTCCTGGGTGGTCACCACATGCATAATCTGCGTCTGTTGTCCCTGTGGCTGCGCTTGCGTCTGCTGCTGCTGAAGAGGGCGCTGCTTAACTTCATATTGAGCCTAGCGAAGAATGGTTAGATTGGTTGAGTAATGTTTGCAAGTGGCATTAAAAACTCACTTTATTGGCCACCTGGCCATTGCTACGGACTTGGGTGGGCGCAGAGGTTACCGCGGGAGCAGTAGCGGCAGCTGGAGCAGCATTTTCGGGTCGTGGCTTTTTGTGCATTTCCCTGTGCTTCTCGTAGTGCAGCTTGGTGGCAAAGTTCTTGTTGCAGACATCGCAGCAATATAGCGTCTCGTTGGCCGTTTGAGTGTGAATCCTGTCGGTGTAATGGTTTGTTAATAACTGTATGGCATTCCGCTTCCTAATGGGGTTTTAATAAAACCTTAAAACAGATTTCCTTACCGCTTGTGTTTGTTGAGGTTGTCCTTGCGGGAGAAAGGCTTCCTGCAGACCTCGCAAGTGTACATTTTCTGGCCGGAGTGGGAGATTAAATGTCGGGACAGGTGCTCCTTACGACTGAAGGCTTTGTCGCAGCCATCTTCCGAACACTTGAAGGGTCGCAGACCGGCATGCAGCTTAACATGCTGGGTAAGATGCTCCTTCTTCTTAAACTCACGGTTGCATGTGGGACAGATGAGCTCGGAGCCGCCAGTTGACCTGCCTGAATCACCAGAAGTATTTTGTCCATCTTGATTGGACAAGGGTTGAGCTTTATGTGTTGGCGGCCGCGCTGATTTCACCTTTTGCGCCGGGGTTTCCTGTACCTGGTCCAGTGGTTTTTTGTGCTGGGATGCCAACGGCGGAGGCGGCGCTTGACTAAGTGCAGGAACAGTAACATGAATGGGTTGAGGTCCAGGTGCAGGAATTGGCGGCTTTATTTGCTGCTTAGCCCCCGTTACCGTAGAGATTCGACTGATGGTGATATTCTGCTTATTTAGCAGGGGCAGCTTAGCGGGTGCGTTGGTGGTTTGAATTGGAGCCTGGGCTGGCACTGGAGCAGCCTGCTTAGTTGTCACCTTCGTAATAGTAGTGTTCGAGGAGAGTCGCTGCAAAGCTGCCGAATTTGAGGTTGATGTTGATGTCTGTGGTTGCTTCACTACCGGCAACTGCTGCTGCTTTGGTGGAGTCACCAACCGTCTGACTTCATTGACGGGTGGCACATTCGTTCCTGTTGCTGGCTGATTGGTAGCCGGGGATGATGGTGATTGTCCCTGAACAGAAATCGCTTTCGGCTTTTGCGCTGGCAACTGCCTTTGCCTGGGAGGTGTCTTGAAGGTAGGAGCTTCATTGCTGTTGGTAGGTGTAGTGGGAGTCGTTGGCATCGTGGTCACATTCCTAATCACCAGTTGGGGACTGGTGGTGCTGGTCTGCGGAGATCTGATGATTTGTTGGGAAGTCACCTGGGCGGTGAGTGGAGCCAGCTGCTGTTGTTGTTGCTGCTGCTGTTGAGGAGGCTGAGGCGCGAGAAATTGGTTCTGAGATACAGAAGTAGAAGTGCCTTGGAAACTGTTTCCTGAACTACTGCTCAGCGTCTGCGGCGTTAGCTGCAGGGTGGCCGGAATAGATGTGGGAGTCAGCTGCATGATTGGCTGCCCGTCAGCGGTGGCCAGCTGGGGCTGAAGCTTCATCTGCACTTGGTAGGTGGTGGGCAGCATCAAATTCTTGGTGTCTATGTGTGCCACGATCTGTTGGTCCGAGTTTTCGTCGCGTATAGTGACGGGCAGAAAGCATTTGCTGGGCGACATTACATTTGGAGCTGATGGCTGTGGAGCTGCCAAACTGGAGAGCAATGCGGCAGCATTGAACTGCGGCTGTGAGGATGCGGTGTTGGCACTCGTTACTCCTGCTCCGCCGGGCATTAACTGCAGCTGAATCTGCGGCTGATTCGTTCCAAACTGTGGCAGGGAGGTGGTGAACTGTGGCGCCGTCGGACCGGATAGCACGAAGTTCAGTTTCGGTTTCTTACTGTCGCCGGGACTTGACGAGTCTTCCGTCGCAGCGGCGGTAAACTGGGTGGTGGCCTGAAGCTGGTTGGTAAGTTGCTGGAGCTGCTGCTGCAGTTGCAACTGTTGGATCTGCTGCCAGAGGGGTTGTAGTTGATCTCCAATTTGCGTCTGTAACTGAAGTTGTGGCGTGTTTAGTGGTCCGGTGGTCACTGTCTGCGGCTGAAGAGGTGGCGGTTGAGAGATTACTTGCTGGGGCTTAGCGGTATTGCTGTTGGTGTCCTTCTTGCCAAGCGGCGTTATCTTAATATCAGGCTTCAACCGGATAAACTCTTCCAAAACCCTAAAAAAAGGGGGTTGTTGTAGAAGTAATCTTCAAGGTAGAGATAGACCCAACTCACGTCTGCTTTTCGCTTTTGACCTGAACTTCTGGCAGATTCAGTTGCTGCTGCTGGATGCCATTGTCCAGCGTGATCGTGTACTGCTGCTGTGGTTGCATTCCCACCGCCTGAATGATGCTGCTTAGCAGATTGCTGGACTGCTGGGCACCGCCAGAGTTTGATGACGCCGCCTGCACCACGCTAAGGCTCTTGCCTGACTCGTCGACGGCATCCCGAATATATAGCTTGTCGCCGTTCGGTGTCGGGCGGATGTTTAGGCAGTTGTTAAGCATCGTCTGGGAGTTGCGGCAAGTGGCGCGGAGGCTGTGCATCTGTTCCACCAGCTGCACGCACTGGGCGCAGACCACCTTGGGCAGGCGATCCTTCTCATCGATCTGCAAGAGATAAGTGTTAGCAAACGTTCTCTGGCCCGGGACGAAGCTGCTCCTAAAACACTCACCTGCAGCGAGAGGCACTCGAAAATCTTGCTGCTGAGGTTCTTGGCGCGTCCCTCGGGCGAGTAGACATTCGTCTTTTGGTCGCTGCTGTCGGTGCAGATTCTGCAGAGATCGTAAAAGTTTATGCACCGCACGTTGGCGGCGGCATTGGCCATTTTAACAGCGCTGGCTCTCTCCTTTGCGAAATGTTATTATTTATGTTTGGTTTATTGCACATGCATATATTTGTTGTTTTTTTTCTGTCTGAACGACGCTCACCTAGAGATGTCACTTGCAACCAGTGCGACCGCGAAACTATCGATAGATACGGTCATACTCTAAAAATATACCACAAATAAGCCATAATAACAGGGGTTTATATTCCTTTGATATAAATTATAAATTGTATAAACATGGAAGAGAAAGTAGGTAGATTTATTAAAATTCGCAACAGGAAACATTTCAACAAGAGGATGGAAAAACGAGGGCAGAGGGCGGCAGCATAAGCCTCAGTTACTACGCTTAAACTACGACGAAAGGAAGATTGTGTGAAATTCTTTGATTAGCTTAAATATATATAGATATGTACATATTTAAAGAAAATTATATTCAATAGAAAATTTGTATATAAGAAAATAAAAACGCTGATGGTTAGTGCCGCGTTACCAACCAATCGACAATCGAATGGCAACGCGTTAAACTGTATCGATATATCGATAGCTTAATCGAATTCAAATTATTCCGAAGCACTTTTTGTTTCATGTTTGTAACAGTCTAATTAAAATTAAATTAAATATTAAAACAATTAAAATTAAATAGTTTTTACTATTTCACGCGGTGTCCTACGCCTTCTTCCAAATATTACCCACATCGGATTGACATATGTAAATGTAAATATGTAAATATTAAATGTAAATCTTTATAAGTAATAGTCTAACAAAAGGTTTTTTACTTACAAAAACTATTTTGTTTTATTTACAAAAATAATTGTTGTTATTGCATTCGCAATAAATCCTGAAATTATATAAGAACCTTTTAACAGCTATCATTAAGATAATGAAATTAAATATACTTTACCCTGAGACATTATTAATAAAGACGGAGATACATATAATTTTATTTAATATAATTTTAATTAATTTATATTTTAATTAAATTTAGTTGTCAGGGTTGATTGATTAGGCTGTTGATGCTGACCCAATATAATTTATAGGGACGAAAATGATTCCTTCACTGAGTGGACTACATTGCGATGCTCTAATATGATCCAATAGGTTTAACCTGTTTTTTTTTATTATTAAATTTAATTTTAAACTTATATAAAATTCCTCGATTTATTTTAGAAGATGAAAGCTTCTATATTAAGATTGTTTAGACCTCATCTCGTAATCTACCTAAATTCGTCGCACAATTTCCAACCCTTATTAGCTTTACATACAAAAACATCACAGCTGAGAATCCAAAAACACAACGACTTTTGCACAAGGATGCATAAATTTGTTACTCGAAATGCTAATTGCAAACTAAGCGAAAGTCAGGCAAAAGTTGAACAAGGCTTTACACACACGACCTATATGGATATGTTTATATCCTTACGAGATGATGTTATAATATGTACATTCATTTATACATAAGCAAAGTTAACTTGTCAAGTACCTTTCCAAATAAGAGCTCAAATAACCGAAGGGACCCTGATGTGCAGATATGTATAAATATGTATCGTCGTAATGCGTAGGATAACGCTGTAAATCAAATCCTAATAAATCCTTTGATAATTGCCAACAAAGATTGCCAAATGTGAATTGATACCCGCAAGGCCAACAAGTGTCCAATTTGAAGACCCCATCACCTGTTTGCCCGTTCTATGGTTGAGAAAAATCTCTGTGACCCAGCTGGATTTGAGCCCGAATACCATAAAATAGAGCAGGTCACCGAAGCCTGTAGGTACACACCCATAGGAAGCTCGTCCTGTTACTGTCGTTACTCCTGCTGCTTATGCTGCTGCAGAATCTGGACAATAGAAATTGTGTCACGGTCAGGAGTATGGGCGTGGACATGGCGACTAGGGCATGGGTTTGCGAGAGAAGGAGGATACGGAGGCCACACTTTAAAGCTAAGCGTGCGGGTATCTCCGAGTCCATGTTGGCAAATAGAGAGCGATACGTAGAGAGTGGGTGAGAGCGAGCTGCGAAGCGCTTTAATTTGAAACCGAAAGTGAAAACGCCCAGGCCATGAAGGACTCGTCAACAGTGACCGCCGCACATATAGGAGCGGGAAAATTGTTTTCAAAAAGTGCCACACCCACCAGACATGTAGACTAAAATCCATTGCTTTTTTATACACTTGCAGGGCAGCATGAAAAGCAGTAAAGATGTAATTTCCGACCTTATAAATCATATATATTCTTGATCATCAATACCAGGCTTCCGTATCGGACTTAATGTATTTTGGCTTTGTTATGAGTTCAATCTTAAAAATATTGATAAATATTGAAATAGGATGGGATAAAAATGGGTTTTAAAAAGCAGTCTGGTCCTTATATAGTCCTACCAACATATAGCTAAGCTTTCCTTAGCTTCCCTTAGCTTTCTTTACATTACTTCTCCATAAATAGTACATATAAGGCAGGTTCGTTTGTCCTGTGAACTTGAATCATAATTCTCCTTTAAATGAAATTATTTCACGGTATTGGTAGAAAAGTAGCATACAATTATTCTCGTTAACAAAAGCATTTAGTTTGAGTAGAGCTGGTTGTGGCAGCAGCTAAAGCGAGAGCGAACAGCAATGCCAAATACCAATACCCCCAGCGAGCTCGAGCCCACTTTCACTCGGCCAATTTATGCTGCATAAACTGATTAAGTGATTTCATCTTCAGGTTGAGGTTGACGTTCTATGCAGTCAGCACATTCAAAGCATCGACATCGAGCAGGAAGCATGGGGCATGGAGAACAGGAGGGGCACAGTGGGACTTATTATATACTTATACTTATACATTGCTACAATAATAACTTATATTATGTATATAACAACTCATTGATACCATAGTCTTTGCTAAACCAATCACACAGTTATCAAAAACTATGTAAAAATGTAATATGTTTTGCCTTAGCATACCATATCGCTCATACGCCATGTGGTACGAATCACTTTGACTTCCCACTGGGGCGCTACTTAAAATCAAATTAAGATAATTAAATCGCCGTCGCGTAGAATGGATATCTTTCAATTTGGGTCACACAGTTGCCTGCATGAATCGCCTGGGAGCTGGAAGCTTTCTCCACGTTGCCTGCACCCCAGGGATTGGGAGGCTATGTCTCTTCCCCATTGCCCATTGCCTACCTCCATCCGTTTTACACGCAGCAGCTGCGTCCCATACAATTTTTGGGGCTCAGCAAGTGTTCAAACTGTACTAAGTACTGTTTATTTACTTGCCGCCCATTTGAATAGTGGCAGAGCGCATTATTACCGATTATCACCGAACAGAGCAGATGCTGCCGCCCCATCCGGATTCGCAGTGGGTTGCCAAATAAACAGCGACAGCGATGACAGGGTGCGGATGTTGGTTGGGTTGGATGGATAACCTACTAACACAGACGCTTAGAGGCACTGAGAGAGAGAGAGAGAGAAAGTGAGAGAAAGTGATGTGGCAAAAAAGTATGAAAAAGCTCGGGAGCCAGTTGGGAAGATTACTGAAAGCAGCGGCGCTGCCTGTCATCTGTTCTGGCGGCGGGTTCGTTTGCCGCCGCGCCAGCAACGTGTTGTTGCCGTAGGACGTTGAAGGACACCAGAAGCAGCAGCAGCAGCATCATCACCGCCTGCGTCTGGCGGTCGAGTGTTGTCCTAGTCCTAGCCGAAAGCTCTCGGCTCTCGGCACTCCGCGCTCGGTTGTTGGTGTTCGGTGTTCGGTGCTCGGATCGGGCTCCAAGCTTCGGTGGTTCGATAACGCTTACCAGTCGAGATTCGGTCGCTTAACCCAGCAGAGGCGTGCAGCGGACATTCCACTTATCCACCGCAACAGTAGCAAGAGCAACAGCAAAACCAGCAGAGGCAGACTGAATAATTGCGGCCACAAAAGTACGGAAGACCCTGCCACTTCAACCCCATAGTCCGAGTATCTGTATCTGATTCTGCAACTGCAACTGCAACAACAACTGCCATCGCAACGTCAAGTCGAGCTGCTGCCAGTGAGTGGACTCAGCCAGGAGCAGCAACTGATTGACTGGATTGACTGACAGCGGACCATCAACCGTATTCATTTTCCTCGCTACCGGTACCGCTTCCCGTCCATGCTCGTTGTGGATTCGGTGGACACGGATGAAGGGCAGCAGCAGCAGTATCATAGAGACTGGCAGCGCGAAAGTAGGCAACAAAAATTGGAAATCTAATTAGCGACGTCAGTGTCAGGATCGCAAATCCATTAATTTCGAAGCATCAACAACTTTTTGGCCAACAAGGCGTTGCTAGCAAAGAGTAGGGAAAAATCCTGAAATCCTGAAAAAAAGGGAAAGCACTCTTGCTTATGTGTGCGCGTCGCTGTCGGTGTCTGTGTATTTGCTCGTGTCGCGTTGCTGTGTGCCTGTGTGCTGTGTGAGCTGATAACGCGAGCCTGGTGCTGACATCACTTTCACTTGGGAAACCGCCTCTCAAAGACCCATCTCGGGCCCCGAGAGTCTGAGGCTGAGACTGCCAATCGAACCGCACGGCAACAAAATCAATTAGACCACCAATACAACAACAGCCACAACAACAACAAAGCTGCCTGAAGCCAATTACCGGAGGGCACGATAAGGAGAAAGAAGAGAGTTGCAAAGGAGGAAAAGACCAGCCAAGACATGTTCTCCATGTGCACCAAGGTAAAGTCACGGAGCTCGGATGCGGACGGCTCCTTCATGATGCAGTCGCAGCAGTTGCAGCTGCAACAGCCCCAGGCGATGGGTGAGTAGGGAGGAAAAAATAAAGGGAAAACTTGGGGGGGGGAGGGGGAAAATGGAGAAAAGAATGAAGAAAGTGAAACCTAAACGGAAACCGAAACTGAAACTGGAAACTGGGCCGCCGAAAGGCTGTCGAGTCGGTGTGTCCTCATTTGGCGGAAAACCCTTGAACTCGTTTTTGCTGCCCCACCCCAGTTTTTCGACAACACCACCCCCACCCATCCCCTGCTGCCCTGCTGACTACTTATTTTTCTCAATGAACTCGCACACAGGCGCAGCTGCGCGTCTGTCTGCAACTTTCTCTTTCACATCCTTCCCTCACCTCTGGCACCCCCGGACCCACACCAGCATCCACATCCACATCCTCAGTCTCAGCCTCTGCCACAGCCACACTGTCGCTTAACTTATCAAGCGGAATCCAGAATGCGGTCTCATTATGCTGCAATTGTTGACAGTGCCACGCCCATTGGCCAGCGTGTGTGTTGGTATTCGCTTGCGGGTGTGTCTGTGTGTGTGTGTGCACTGCATTAAATCATTAAGCGAGACAACACAGAGCTAACGCCATAGTGTGAGTATATCCGTGCACTTGCCGCAGAAAATGCGGCTTCAGGTTACAGTTACAGTTGCAGTTCGCCCCAAGCATAAATCAGTCAGCTACACTTGGAAATATTAGTGGGAGATACGAAAAAATTATACCTTTTCTCAATTACAATTGATACTATTTGAGATATAAGAATCTATGTTTGTGAGCTTAGATAAATCTTTTGAAATCAAATAATTTGCTCCCATCTAATTCTAAATCTAAATGTGATTCATGATTTTATATATTTCTTCGATATAAAAACCAGTTTTGGTTAGAGAAAGCTTATACTAACTTACACCTACCTTGTTAAGCAGGAAAGGATCGGTCCTTTCCTTTTCAAACTCAATTATCCTTGAACTCTTCGAGTAACAGATTTATAGTGTTATTATTTTCTGTGTAGCCGATTTGTTATGTGAATGTGAGGATATGTGAATGCAAGGATTTCAGGATGTGCGTGGGTGTGAGCGAACGTGCATATACGTTTGTGTGAGTGAACTGAAGAGGAACACATGGCGTCCGCTGCCTTGCCATTTTTTTTTTTAAACAAGCGCAGTGTCCTTCGGCAAGCTCGTTCTCTCATCACACCCCGCAGCCCCGCACTTATCCAGCCCAGAATCTCATCACCATTCCATTCCCTCAGCTCATCCTTTCATCCTCTTCTTCCGCACATGTACTCTCGTTGTCCTCTGTCGGCGTTTACACCATGAGAAATGCAAGAAATATATAACATAACCTTAACCTGATCATATATTAAATAGTTAAAGAAGTAAATTATTATTAATTGTAAGAACTGTAATTATTCAATAATAACAAACCTAAAAAAAGGGAAAATAAATCGATAGAAGTTGAGGTCTGTATATTTTTTCAATTTCGGAATGCACATACATGTAGCCTGGGGTTAGAGAAAACTTTTAGCAACATATTATATAAGAAAATAGTCACAAGTTACTTGTAATTTTTCTCTTTCAAAAATAAATGACACCAGAGAGCGGACAGACCCAGACCGCTTTAAGAACCAGCAGCGTCTTTTGGCGACCGTGTGCCTTGAGCGATTTTCAAATGCTCATCGCACCATCCTTGCCAGCCAGAGCAAATTGTCACCAGACCGTGTTCTGCACGAAATAAGTTTGCTGCTATGGCAATTTTTCAAGTGGCCAAGATTGCCAAGGAGGTTCTTCAATTCTGAAATAACAAGTATTCTGGCCGAGACATCCTCAATCGCTTATCAGTTTCTAGAAACTGAATATTGTCATAAGGGAAAACGTTGCCAAACGCGAAATTGTTATTCGGATTCCCAAAGTCCCATTTAGTTAAATAATTTATTGATTTTTTAAAAATGTAAAATGAGAAAAATTCAATTTATCTTCTTAATCCATGACCAGATTTGTTTGGCCTAATTAGCATCATTTAAAGCCCTGCTTAAGTTAATTAGGCCGTAATTCTCCAATAAGCAAATGAATGGATACATTTAAAACATGATATGGGGGATATTTATGTATTTAAATTTAAAAAAGTTTGAACAATTGCCACTGCCAGTTCGTTATCAGTGATAGTTAATGCAGAAGATGATTTAAAGTAATGCATACAAGCACAGAGACCGGATTCCCTGTCGTCTTTATTAAAATAATTAATGGAGTTCACCGCAAGCTTCATGGTTACCCCACCTCACCAAATTCCAGTCCCTCCTATTTCGCTCTGCCTCTTATTTCACACCGTCATCCGACTCTCGACAAGGACCAAATAAATGGGATGCCGAAGCCGAAACCCGTGGTAATGAATTTGACATGAGAGACCAGACCAGGCCAGCAGGGCAACTGCAGTTGCACCCGGGTTGGATGATTGAGTTGAGCTCGGGCTCGGGCTCGGGCTGCGAGTACGGGGAATTGCTAAATGAAATTTCATGTTTCGTTTTTCGCCATCGGATTTGTGAGCCTGTGAGGCAGCTCTTGGCACCTGCACTGCTCCCGGGCCCGGCTGTTACATTTGGAATTCACAACAACACCGGTGGCCAAGGGACTCGGCTTTCACCACTTTCGGTGCGTGGGCGTTGGGTCGCCGGCTGGCGGATTGAAAAGTGAAAAGTCCTTGACTGGACAATGAGTAATCGGAACCCAGCTGCAGCAGGTTCCTGTTCAATTAGCGGCATCGTCACTGGGCACTGGGATTGCGGATTAGATGGGATTTGCAGCGGGCATATCTCACCTCAGCACTCACTCTCCTCTTGGTCTTGTTCTATTTCCGCAGGAACTGGCGGGAAGCAAATCAAAGGCGGCTACCTACTGCGTTATAAAAGTGAGTATTATTGAACATTTACAATTAACAAAAAGAAACCAATTTCTGGGGAATACAAGTCTTTACAAAACAAAATAAATTGTCATAAGTCATGAAATAAGAAGTAGTTACTAGGCAAGTACCGGATGAATTCAAAATGCAACTTTTTCGAAAAGATGGCTGTCAGCAGAGTAATCCCGGTCCGTTTAGGAACCAACAAAAACCCTTAGGAGAGGCGACAATCTGTCAAATCAGCACAACAGTAACAGCAGGACCTCCTAGCTCAAGCCCGACAGGATGACGCAGCATCCATGAATAAAGTAGATGTATGAGGAAACCTACGACCTTTCAAATATGATGGCGGAGATAATCAATTCGGGGTCAAATTCAAGAGTAATTACTCATGATTTGAAGTGGCTGTACCTACCTCATTGTCTGAACCTTTACCTTTGTAAAGTCTTCCAAATGGATTTGTTTATGAAATCATTAGCTGTTTAAATTAATTTGTTCTTTTCTTTATATATTATTTCCCTGAAATTCTACTGTTGACTTAACTGATTTCGTGACCTGTATTATCCTCACAGAGCAAATGTTCTGGAATCGCTGGGCCGAGGAGTGGGTGGTGCTGTACGATGACTCGACCATGGCCTGGTTCACGGAGCCGGGACGCTCCTCACCGTCTGGCAAGATCCTAGTAAAGGAGGCACCCGAAATGCTGGCCATTGCTCACTGGACCGGTCAGATACCACGACGTCCGCCACTACCGGCTGGGGTAAATGTCTCGCAGCTGATTGCCCTCGGATCCCAGCGGAAGCGATCCAAAGTCTACTGGATGCTGGCCAAGTCTGAGCAGGAGGTGGGTGACTGGATCGATGCAATCACCAAGACCCTGCCGCCGCCGCCACAAATCGAACTGGTGGTGGACAAGCCTCACTTGATGAACGTGCTCCGGCGACCGCTAGTGCGCATTAGACGTAAGTAAAGGCAATTAATTGTATAACATTTTGATTCATTTTGCTCGTGTATTGCTTACTTTCGAAGAAATTTATTATAAAATAATAACACATTTTACATTTATTATTTACTCACTTAGCTGCCACCCAATCGGAGGTGAAACAGCGCAAGGCGGCGGCTCATGGCAGCAGCAGCAGCGGAGCCAGCAGCAGCAAACACCATCGCTGCACCACCTCGGCGATGACCACAATGCTTTTCAGGCAGACCCAAAATCCGCTGGTGAAGAGCGACGCGGCCGTGGCCATTCTCAGTAAGAAGCCGGACTCAAAGGCCTCGCTGGCCTGCGCCCTGCCCTGGGGCCATGGCTGGGGATGGGCCACGCTGCCGAATGGTGTGTGGAGTGGCGGACTCACCTGGTCGCAGTGCGAGGACACCTTTACCCTGCACGCCCTGCCCACCACCCACTGCACCAATCTTATCGACACCTCGTGCAGCGGCGCCGTCTATCACACAGATATCGGTGGCTTTGACTTCCACTCATCGGGCGTGGACGACATTGGGGGCGAGGACTTCGACTATGCCATGGACTGTGGCGATTTCATATTTTAAACTCCCTCCAGGACAACATATTCAGGCGGAACAGGTGCTTCCGTGCATCAAGGAGCTCAGTAACTGGTAATTCCTTAAGAATTAGTCCCGGAGTGTCAGGGAACGTTGCGTATACGACCCGTTATGCCCCCTTAAATTCCTCAAGCTGTTAAACAGCAACAGCAGTTCCAAATCATTCCCCATTTTTTTCTTTTTGTGTGTGCTAAAATGTATACCCAGCGGTTGCGGTTAAACCATCCTATTCATCCACTGCCTGAAGAAAATTCCTGGAATTTGATTTTTGGCATATGTATATGTTACATATGAATCGATTGCCATTATCCACGAACAAATTATACTAATTCTTAGGAAGTTTTTTATTTATTTATGTGTTTATTTGGAAAGTGTCACCTTGGCCTTGGTTTTGACCGCAACAGCTAGCCGGTATATCTATGTATATGTCTCGATGTAAGCCAATATTTGAATGTATAACTTAAACCACACGCTCGTAAACCTCAAAGCCACAAAACAACCTGCAGTATCATACCCACCCAACCGCAACATGTCATCGCGGGCACCGTGTCAGCCACAGGTATTTGAAATGCGACAAATATTTTTGCAACGCGCATATAAGTAGGCTACAACATATTTTTGCAACATAAAACGAAGACATGAAAAACATGACGAACAACGGCGAGAATCTGAAATACTTTTGAGTATTTTGATAGTTTTGTAATTTATATTGAATGCAATTTTTAAATGGAAACACTTTTTCAAATTGTTTTGCCATGATTTTCTAGAATTTTTGGAAACGATAGTATTAAACAAGTCCCTCGGAAACCTACCCTTTCCCCACTGATGCCCCCACAAGCCAAACTCATTTATGTGTGCCAATTTTTGAAAAATTTATACATATACAGCGCGCGCAAATGATGAAGGGTCACCCCAAAAAATCAATACAAGTTTAATATAATTGTGCAAAAATTGCGACAACAAAGAGCAGGGACAAGCCAGAGGAGAAACCAACGCATAATTTTAATTGGAGTATAGTGGTTTTTATATACACAGCATGTTGGACATAAAATGACAGAGTAAACAGGAAAACCAGGTAAAAACAAGTAATTAATGAAGGAAAACTAACTCTAGATGTAACCACACTCATACACGTCTTCACACCCTTAGTGTTAATGGTAGCTCTTAAGGCTTAAGTTTTCGAAACTAACTCACACACAGATCGATCAACCCCACCACCCGTACTGATGTAAAGTTTATAAAACAAAATTAAGCGAATCAACAAGCAAACAAAAAAGAAAAAAAAAAACAAGGAAAAACAAGTTAGTAGCCCAGGAAAAAGAAAAACCAGAACATTATAAGATGTGTATACACAGACATGTACGATTAATTAGTAGTTAAGGGCGCCTCATCACAGAAATCGTTGCAAATCACCGACAGAGTATTCGCTCAACTCATGCCACATCGATTCGATTTTGAATTTGATTTTGAGGAACTTCCGGTAAGGAAGGGAAACGCCGCTACGGACACCTTGAAGAAACTGTATCTGTAACTAAGATCTAGCCTAAGTCGGACGCGTCAAGTAATGGAGGGGCGCCTAGAGTTGTTAAGTTATATAAATATACATGTATTAATAATTGTAAGTGCAGGTTTTCAAAATGTTGCATGCCGCGCATATATGTATGTATGTATGCATAGAGGTAGAGGATAGAGTCGCGAGATAATATGTAAAATACGGGTAATAGGACGCCTATGTCCCCAAAACGCATCTGTTGCATGTCCTTGTACGAACGTGTGGATGTATTACTATATATTTATGATCAAAGCGAATACCCTAAACCTGAGCCTACAGCCTTAGCTATCCTAGGAACACCTCGAACACAACAGCACCCTCGCGCCATTACCCCACCATTCGCTTCTAGCCGTATATACTTAGTATTATTATCTACAAGAGCATGCATATATGTAGCGTATATGTGTAGCTGTAGCTATGGTCAAGGAAAACGTACGAAAACGTTGGGGCATCGGGGGGAAAGAACTTTGGGCCCGCCACGTAACGTAAATGAAATGTAGACTACAAGACTTAAGCAATTGTCGTTTAGACGTTAAATTAGAGCGCATTGAATGTTGGCTTATACATAGTTCTAGATTCAGATGCGACGAGCGAACGGAGGAGCGTTTAGAAGCATATTTAAGGATAACCTCACCACAATGTTTTAGTCTGAAGCGTAGCCCGGAAATAAAGCAAATAAAACGAAACTTGTTAACGATCGAGTTACAAATAATCGAATCGGAAATGCGAAAACCAAACTAAATGAAAAATCAACCTTGGACAATCACGCATATGTATGTAGGAAAACGGGATTAAATAATGTATGTAAATTGTTTTGGGTTCGGTATACCGATAAAGGGCCGACGACATAGCTTTGTGTGGCATAGTCTTAGCACGTCCAGCATGGAGTCCACAAAGGACTCCATGAACTCAACTACTCTACACACACACACACTTTACTCACACAAGGTACGATTCGATTGAAGGGCTCGAGACAAGTCAAGCTTCAATTAAGTGTCAATCCCCCACGCTATTCAGTTCAACCGAGAAGTATTTTTGTAAACTTTATTAAGAACACCGAAAAACAACAAGGAAAACGATAAAAACAAAAACAAAAAAAAAAAGAAAAAACATGAACATGGATGTTTTAAAACCGAAAATAAGCAAATATAGAGAAAAAAAACAAAGGTATACTTTAGGTGCAAATTTTTGTAGAATAATTGTACACGTAAACTGCATTTCCGATGTTAGCTGAACAACCGTATATAGTATCTAGTATACATACATCCACTTATATATATATATATATGTATATGTATAAGTTTAGCGGACATGACCCAAGAAAGAACACCCACTTTTATTGTGCTGCGCCTTTTCAGCGAGCAGCTGAACTGTGAATAGTACCTTAGGTAGCGCCGGCCGGCATTGTGTGTAAATCGCATCATCTGATGTAACCATGAAATTATGAAATTGACGAAAAACCAATCGGTGGCCAATCAATGGCAAGTGAGATGGGAACGAAAGGAAGCGACATTGGCGGGGGCAATCCCAACAGCCGGAAGCGGAAGCAGGCTTCCAGCCATCCGGCCATCCGGCCATCTTGGCGAACGTTACGTATACGCCTCGCAGTCGCCGGCCCATACATTTATGTGTATCTCACAATTAGGCTAGTAAGTTCGCGTTGTTTGTTACCAATTGTCAGTTGTCAGTGTCGTTGATGTTGAAATTGAAATTGCCGTGTCATTGTTAAAACGTATATTCAAGTTGTAATCCGGACTCGCAACGGGCCGAGTGTTTGGAGTTAGCTGTTTTCAAGAGCGCAGGAAGCGGCCAGCGAGGGGCTCCGTAGGCGGCACTCATCGCGACCTACGCAGATTATACAAATTATACAAGCAAGCAAAGAAAGCAAGCAAGCAAGCAAATATATACATTACCTAGGTGTGCAAATAATATCTAATATATATATACATACATTGGTGTAACAAACAATCTGGAAACAAGGCTTCAGCTCGAACCAACCTTGAGTCTTGAGTAAATGTCAAGAAGTTTTAATCCCCAAAAAACGGCCTGGCCAACGACACTACCACAAGAAAACGCCCCCCCCCCTCTCGAACTTCCCCCGAACAAAGGTAATTAGCGAAGTAACTACGTAATTCTATAGGTGTGTATGTGTCTATAAATATATATATTTTGACGCCGCCAAGCCCAAAGAGATCGTTTTGTGCGACAGGTTCATGTTCAACCAACTCAGCTACAACTCTTTTTGGCCAACTCGCAAAAGCAAGAGAGCCAAGCGCCCCTGGGGAAGAGAGACACTGAGACAAGGCAGAGTAGCACGCTCTTATATGGTTTCAAGACCTCAGCCAAAAACAGACGAACAATGAGTGTGTGAATAATTGTTACTAAAACGATGAGCAACTTAGCGCCAAGCGAACACAAGAGAAGAAGTCATCAAGTGAGTCATTAAGAGGGGCGATTGCTGAAGCTTAAACACTATCAAACATCTATTTTTGCAAAGCTAAAGTGCGCTTAAATGATTTCATGTTTTGAGAAACAATACATTTTGCATATTGAAATTGTTTTGAACAAATCTAAGCACTCAGATTTTCTATAATTAAATTTAAATTGTATTTAATTCTATTAAGTTGAAAGTAAGTTATGTAGAATATTGTTTAAAATCGAGTACCCTTATAAAATATTATTTAAGTGGCTTTAGAAATGTATTATGAATATGTTGAAACTGTATCCCAACTTAATTTATCTAAGATACTCTATTGTTTACTGATTAGATTGCTTCAAGTCTTGGTATAATGACTTCAAACAATGGGGTTGATGAATTGTAAACGGCGAAAAACATCTGCGAAGCGTCAGCGTTGATAAATGTAAAACAAAGCAAATAAAGTTTAGCAACAACATCTGAGAGAACGAAACAAAATCAGTCGCTGAGCGATAAACACAAGTTTCTCTTCGCGTGCACGCACAGTCATAAGTGTGTTCATTAGGGGAAAGGGGGTACTCTATTGGGGACCTAACACTATATATCTCTATGTACATATACTTGTATATATGGGGAACTGCAGGGGGAGAGCCTGACCGACGACACGCCATCATCAAGAGATCAGTTGGCTGCGGTGCACCGCTCGATTGTCGCCAACTTCGCAACTTGTTCGGGCCGGCCATCGGATTGAATCGGAATCGGAATCGAAATCGGAATGGAATCTTGTCTCAGTTAGCGCGCAAACTTCTCAGTAAACAGTCGCCAGCGCCAGTGCCAGTGGCAGGCTCTTTAAAATAGTCTGAATTCCAGGCACGAATTCCCCTCCAGACACACACGGCGTATGCGTAATTATAGTCCATCAACAGCTGGCCAGTTGCCCACAGAGGAGCCACCACTCCTCCACTCCACACATGGCTACTATCCTTCGGTGACCCACTTCGAGGTCTGGCTCTAAAGTTCAATCCTCGTTTAAGTGCCTTCTTTGTGTGTCAACCAACTCGCGTGACCAGTGCCCGCCGCTGCCCAAAGTCCTGCACCGACTTTCTATTCCTTCGCTAGTGGGGATATTTTTCTCGCCAGGTAAGTTCACTTCGAAAGTGTATGCAAATCGCAGTTCTAGAGGAAAACAAAGCCCGCAGAGAGTTGGAATTGGTCATCTAGAAAGGTTTCTTGTGCCAAAAAGCAGAAAAATGCATAAATTAATACTACCGAAAGAGAGCAAATTCAGATAGCGAGCCAGTGGGTGTGTGAGGGTATGCTGACTACTCTAGAGACGATAAAAAGAAAGGAATTATTTCAGTATAAATAAAATATAGTAAAGTAAACTTCCAGATTATTAAGTATATCTTTTAGCCGAGATCTAATTTTTATCCTTCTTTCTTTTTTCTTTTTAATAATATCTTAGAAGTTTCCGACTTTCTTGATCAATTGCTTTTATTTAGTTGTCAGTTTCGTGCTTAACAACGCTTAAAAAAGAACTCTTTAAAGACTTTTCATACTTTCGGCAGTATATCACAAACAAAGAAGAATTATTAGTAAATTTTCGAAATTGTTGTTACTTTTCTCGAGACGTTTTCGGTCCAGATGAAATGTTTTGTATATACACTCAAAGATAACGGTCGATTTTCATCACCACAAATAAGTTTGGTTTTGCTGAGTTGGAGTGAATTCAATTGAATTGGTTTGTTCATTGATCGCACCCTATTTGGAGCGACCTTCGGCCCACAATTGTGAATCTGAATCTGAATCTGAGTCTGGGTCTGGGCACGGTCTGAGCAGTTTCCACTTCCACTTCCAGATCGACACCCACGTCCATCTCGAAGATCGAGCGACAGTTTCCCCTGACGCCTCCTGGCGACATTTATCGGCGCTCACAATTTGCCAGCCCCGCCTCCGTTGGTGCTGCTGCCGCTTTTATTTATTTTTTGCCAACTCGAGGTGACTCACTGGAGAGTCTGTGCCGGGTCTGCGGTAACCAAACGGCTTGGCCAAGCTCTGTCGCGTCATCATCGCCTTGGCTGGTGCCCACACACGAGCACACGAACACACCGCATATCAAGTCGCATCGAATTCAATCGCTGAACTGCTCCACGACTGTATTTGGCGATGGCGTCAGAAGGTTCCGGAGCGATGAAGACCTCAAAGCTGGCTCAAATGCAGGTAAGATTCAAATAGCAGACAGGTTTGGTTTACATGTTTACCCAGGCTTTAAGTAAAGCCTCTTTTTAGTTTCCGTTCATAAAGACCTCGAATCAACTATGCATATAACATAATCCGAAAGCAAATTATTATTTGTCTTAATTAATGTTGGCTGCTTGCTCAATTAATCAGACATTTCCATAATAAAGAGTTTGCTTGAGTCCGGATCTCTGCCTTCAATTTCCGTGATGTGCCATAAATGGTACGAGTCCGTCTCTCGTGCTTTTTTTGGGGAGTTCTAATTCCGCTTCTCAGCGAAAGCCAGCCAGCTAATTGAATTGTATTAGCCCCTGCTCATATTTGGTAATGGGAACTCTTGGTGCCCCCACAGAATAGAACAAAAGGCGGTCCTTGACTGACTGCCATCTGTTGACGGAAAAAAAGCGGTGTCGAGAACATAGAACAGAGCCCGAGCCCAAACATTTTCCCTTCAATTAGCTGTAATTAGGGTTAGCCAAAGTACGTCACTTTTTGAGTCACCCAATAACCAAAAAGGGTTGACATTAAAAACGCCAACAAACACATATGCGCAGGGAGAAATCTGTTGCGGCCAAGCCATCAGGTTTAGCTCGGAAATGAAGAGAACCGAAGGGAAAATGAAATCCTGTTTCAAAATGTTTTCAAAAGTGAAAAATGAGAAAGGTTTGGGGAAATAGATCCCAAAAAAATCGAATCTAATCTAGAGAAAAATTTTAAAATACTCAATCATTTCTCTCTCTCTGTACTTGAAACCCAACTACAATTCATCAATCAAAAATTTTACCTGTGAAAATAGTCGCGCGCGATTTTTATCGCTGAAAGGCGGCAGTGGGTGGCCGCTTAAAGGACAATGCTAAGGTCCCCTGTCACCTGAGCGAGCGCTGCTCTTCCTTTCTGGCATTCAACAATTGCTGTGCACCCCTGCCTTGGGTTGTCGGTTGACGGTGTGTGTCCCATGTGCCATGGCAACGTTGCAGCCATTGATTTTTGTTGTTGTTATTGGCATGCAGGGGGGAAAAAAATAAACATACTAGTAGCTTAACAAAAGGGCAGCCGGAAAGGATTTCTCAAGGGTCAGATATACACAAAGGATTTACGTTGTTTTTGCGTACTTGCTGACGACTTGCCAGATGGCCATGGCTAGATCCGAAGGCCACTACCAGGATACCAGACGCAGGAGACAACCGCAATTACACGGTTCTAAGGCGGGCATTTAGAGAGAGGAGAGCAGGAGAATGGCCACAAGCAGAACACCCACATTTACGCCCGTACCCACGACCCGTTCCAGGCAACAGGATAAGGTTTCCTTTGCCCAGGCGGGTCGTGTGGCCAGGGGTTTTATGTACTGGCGGCACGTAAGTGGGCACGGATTTATTCGCATGTCACTGGGGGATGGCGTTGGGTTTGGTATGAGAGGTTTGACACCACCTCATCGCTAGAATAGACAAGCAATCAAAGTACTCACACTAGCAAAGCCCGTGCACTTAATGACTCCACTCGCGGGAAATGGACGCGCTAATGTCCGGTCTTAGCTCGCTCAGTTGGCACGCGCTCTCTGGCCCGCAATGTTGCAGGCGGACGGGAACGAGGACGGAGACTACTCCCATTACTCGGAATTTGGGCAGGATCACATACTTCCCTTAAAGTTAAACGAGTCTTGGGCGGCCAGACGTCTCATGGAGGCACTAAGTCACCTTCCACCTAGTGGGAACAGTAACTCAGCACCTGTAAGATTAAAAATAAGAATATAGAACTGAGTAAAGTGTTATTTTGAATATTAAATACATAAGTATTACCTAGTTTTTCATAGAGTGAATCAATACAAGATGCACCTTTCCAATAACTGAAATCTAAAAGAGAATTTCTCAATCCACAGATGCGTTTCCAACAGCGAACACACCAAGAGCAGGAGGCGCGCCGTCGAGAACTTGCAGCTACCAAGAGCAATGGCGATGTTTTGAACATGGCAGGAAATGGCAAGGTCCGTCAGATGTTTGATGAACGTCGTCGCGGTGCAGGCATTGACCGTAGTAATCCACTGAGGCCCATTGGAACTCTGCCTTCGCCACCTGCCGCCTCTCTAGCCAAAACACGCCCGCAGCACCCCGTGGAGCGGCTAACCAAGGGCGTCTCTGCCATGACCCTAAAGGAAGCTGCTGCGAGCACTAATAAACGAATTACCAGTGACAGCAACAATAATAAGTTCGCAACGCCTCGGACCGTGAATCGAAACCTTAAGCCCGTGATCACGCGAAAAACACCTCCAGCCCAGGAAGCGCAGCGTAGTCCCGGGATGCAACCATCGACTCGTTTAGTAGGGGCTGGGACTTCAGCAACCAATCGGCGTTCACCACCGCCTCCTCGACAATGGGTGAGTATGATCAGCCTGTCCGAGACGTATCATTCAGTAGCTAACTGGTCCAAATCTATGTACATTTCCAGACAACCGAACGGTCCCATCAGTTCGAGCCAAAATCCCCAGTCAAGAAGGTCACAAAAATGGTAAGTACCATCGAACAACACAGCTGTTGGCAAATCTTACTACTGAGCTCACCTCGATTATCTTTTACAGGAGCCTCAGGCGCCACCTCCGGAAGGCACTGCCCAGTGCAAGCACTGCGGTCGGCACTTCCTCACTGATCGACTCCAAAAGCACGAGACTGTGTGCGCGAGGATGATGAGCACCAAGCGCAAGATCTTCGATGCCTCCAAGCAGCGCATCATAGGCACCGATGCCGAGAAGTTCAACAAGAAAGGCAAAGGTGGCCTTCGTTCGCAGACCTCGTACAGCAGCGCTGCCCAGCAGAAAGGTCTGACCACCGGGGTGAAGAAGAACAACTGGCGCAAGAAGCATGAGGAGTTTATCCAGTCGATAAGAGCGGCCAAGCAGGTGCAGCAGCACTTGGCGCGTGGGGGCAAACTGAGCGACCTGCCACCGCCGCCGCCTTCGGAAAACCCAGACTACATCCAATGCCCGCACTGTAGTCGACGCTTCAATCAGCAGGCAGCGGAGCGGCACATCCCCAAATGTGCCACAATGGTGCACAACAAGCCTCGAAATGGTCCCCCGCCGAAAAAGCGCTGATCTCTGGTCTGACAGTGGACAAACATGCCCATATTTTTACTTGTGATAAAGAAGTTTGATGATTGAAAAGAATCGAATGTGTAGTGTGTACCTTTGGATTGGTCCGCGTGTATGGATGTGCTAGTCGGACAAGACCTCAACGTCGTTGTCATCGGAGGCATTTGTCACGGCTTGCACCGGTGCGGTTGACCCTGACCTTTCGCGCTCAATAATGGCCTTCACCGCGTCGGCCGCCTTGTTCATTTCCAAGCCTTCGAGCATGTATGCCCAGTTGTCCAGGGTGGCATCATCGTCGTCAGAAATCCAGTTGTTTAGCATTTTTATGCAAGCCACGTTAGCAACGGGGTGCTCCATTTGGAAGAAAAGTAACTCATCATTTGTGAATCCAATTTTCTTTCCCACCTTCATCCAGGGCTCGCCAATCAGTGGGGCCACCTCTTCGATATGCTCTTTTGTGACCATTAAAGGCTTCTCATAGGCTGCGGGTTCAAACGCCTCATCGACCACCGGCTCAGTATCGTCTACTTCGAGATCCGGCTCGGCTTCAGCAGGCGAATCTGGTGACTCTGTAGCAAAATTCTCGCCCTCTGTATTGCCATGATTGGCTGCCAGGCCATTATTGTGCTCCAAAGAGTTGCTTGATGTTAAAGCCACCGTTTTCGGTTCCTTGTCACGAATAAGACGCTTGCGCACCTGCTCCAAATAATCGGAGGTCTTGCTTGATGGCAGAGACAGTGAGGTAAAAAAGTGTGGCGTTTGGCGAGCGAGTAGACGCAAAGCTCTCCACTCAAAGCCGGGGTCGACCTTGTCATGCGGTGTCTCCAAATAGGTCTCCAGTAATGGCAAGAAGTTGCGCTGCTCGCTCTTACAGGCCTGAAGGTTATCCGGAGAGTAATTCCACAGGCGTGTCAAATTATCACTAGAGAAGAATTTTTCTTAAGTTTTCGTTTGAAATGCTTCGCGGTGAGATCCCACACTTACTTGCCCAAAAAGAACTTCCCATTGCGGGCAGCATCGCGCAAAGCATCGCCCAAGGGACGCTTGGACTTCTTAGCCGGTGGTGGTTTGACTTCCTCCTCATTAGCGACCGGCTCCTCTGGCTTCTTAAACTCCTTGCAACCATCGTTTTTCCAGTTATTCCACATTTCCTCTCGTATCAGCATGTGGTGGACCGTGCGAGCAAACCGCCTGCCATATGGCGGTGTCTCTTCTAATAACTTATAAACGCGCGAATCCAAGTCCTTGATAAAGTCTATCTGTTCGGTGGTCAGGGTGTGAGTTTCGCTGTCAGAGAGAGAAATTAATTAATTCAAATCTTAGGTTTTTGCTCGCATACTTACGCCTTAAACTTAACAGCGACTTGCAGATACTGAAAGAGAATGAGAAACTGCAGCAGGACAGCACGACGGAAATTGGAGTCGGAGAGCTGGAGGGCTAGTAGCTTGGGATTCGTCAGGAACTTTGCAAAAAAGTTATTTGTCTTGATCACGGCGGTCGCTAAAGCTGCAGAGTCGGTGGTCTCAAGATCAACGTCCATCGACTGGCTATCAGCATCGCTGGCGTTGTCACTGGCACTAGAACGCACATCCTCCAGCTTGAAGCTCGAAAATGCCTGCAGGATGGTCTCAGCATGCTAAAAGACAATAAGAATGTTGCCCGATTCATTTATTTTTATAATATAATGGCCTACCGTCTGGAACATCTTCCAGTGCGCCTTGCTGTAGCACTGGCTGGGATTACGAAAGAAGTCCTGTAGCGACCAGAACTTGCAGTACAGATTGTAATCAATCTTAAGGGGTATGTCCTCGGCCGTATCCTCCAACTCCTTGTCAGTGTCGTCCTGACTATCCTTGCCATCCCGCCCATACTCCGTTAAGTTGTCCAGATTAAACTCGGAAACGATGTTTAGGCCCGATCGCTCCGAGAAGGGGAAGAACTTTGAGAGGAACAGCAGAATGCGACCGCAAAATACGGTATTCTGGGTTCGGGACAAGCGACGGAGCAGGTCGTTGCACATGCGCAAGATATTGTTTTTGCACGAGGCAAAGAAGATCTCCTCTTTCCACACGTCCACCAGCTCCTCGACAAAGCAGAAGATCTCCTGGCACTTGTCCAGCGTGACCACATCGAAAGTGTCCATTAGCAGCACCACAGGAATGGTGGTGGATACTATCTCGGCGCGTGTGGCCTTCACAGAGAGGCGCACTAGGTCGCCTATGTGCTGTACATCCTCGTCCAGTCGATGCATCAGCAGCACTCGGAACGCCTGGTCCATGGGCAGGCGCTTGTCGTGCTCGTAGTTAGCTTTGAAACTGTTATAAGCCGTTACCAGCAGCTCCACGCTGTTTTGCTGGATGGCCCTTTCTAGAGCATCCTGCATATTTTTAATAACTGGAATTAACATCTCCGTAACTTATCAAGCCACAATTTCTCACCTTAAACGCCGCCTCCATGACAAAGTAATTGGCGGACTTCGCCGAAGCCTTACCCACCACTTCAACAGCGGTGCTCATCTTATTTTTAACAATAATTAGCAAAAATTAACAGCAATAAAATTATGTTTTGTTTTTACAAAGCAGTGCTGACAACTTTTCGATGACACTATCGATATACAGGTTGGCTATCCGTGACCGGCACATATCGACTGTTTTTGTAACTATCGAAATGTTATATTACATTTTGCGAATTATTTAAATTTTAAATTTAACATTCACAGTAGAAACGAACAAACACAATTTAGTTTAGCTTTTCAAAATAAAATAAAATATATTTGAAAATTAACTTTATTAATTAAAACATTAATAATAAATCTATATACGTACATATTATATATAAGGAAACCTCAGTCTGTTATCAGTTCCAAAGGCAAATCGCTATATGCTTGACATGTCACTTACTTTCCGCCTCCGTACAAGGTCGGATAGATTCATAAGTGGGCCAACCGAATAGTCTCCCTCGTTATTCAGATTCGTAATCTCAAACAGACTAGCCATGCCCAAATTGATCGTCATCGTAGTGCTATGGATTCTGGCACTTAGCGGGGCCAGCAGCAGGACTGTATTTGATCAGCTTTTCTCAGGAGTAGGAGCAGGAGCAGCAGGCTACTACTATCCACCCACTCCAGCGCAGCAGCCATCATATCCTGGCTGGTACGACGCGAACTACAGACAGCAGCAGCAGCGACCCCGGCCAAAGGAGCAGCAGCGCTCTTACAAAGATATTTGCCGTGTGGTTAATACAAACGGATTCACGAATCCAGGGGCTGTGCCCCGGTGTCCTTACTAGCCTGTGTGCTGTATATTTTTTACAAATTGGAAGTTTCTGCGAAATAAATATAAATAGACGGTGCTTAACAGGTATGCTCATAGCTAGGGCCTAGTCCTTAAGCTAGGTAACAAAATGGGCTGCGTTCTCTAAAAGAGCCGCTTTTGGACGATATAGAAAACACAGGCTAGAAATAGGCAAAACGCGAAAAATAAAAGCATCTTGTCAGTGCACTCGCGCCGTCCGTATTTCTTCAACAATTTGCCGGACATGGTGATGGTGCCGGCCGTGTTGTGCAACTCGTCACTGGTGGCCTCTACGTTTTGCGACGAGGCCACCAAAGTCTCGAGCGTGACAGCGCTCTTTTGGGTAGTCTCCGACAGGTGACGGGAAATAGCTAACATTTTCTCAGTAACGTCGTTCTCCTGCGAGACCATGCTGCCTTGGTTGTGGCGGGCACGGGCTGTCGTCCGCTGGCGTAGTTCGCTTTCGCCTGTTATGGTCATCAGTTCCTCGCGATTTGCCTTCTCAATCTCAAGAATTGTGGAGACGTTTGCCTTGCGGAAAGCCTGTAGTGTCTTGGAGAACTGGTCCCGATGAGTATCCACTTCCTTGGCAAGTGCGGCATCTGCCGTATCCCGTGCCCAGTCGTCTAATCGCTCGATACTCTTCCGGATGGACGACAGCTTGGCGCGTCCAGTTTCATTCAGCTCCTCTAGTTCGGCGATCGAAGTGCGGCTGTTCAGAATGTCCTGAAATGTGTACGAAATTGGGGCACGTCGTTTTGTCCTTACTTTTTCGATTTGCTTACCTGTATAATGGCCTTGGCCTGAAGGTTGTTATCAATGAGATCCTGTCGAATGGACTGCAGCGTAAACGTGTCCTTGTCCATGGCCATGTCTGTCTTTATTTAAAAAAACAATTATATTTTTACTCTGACGCGTCAACAAGACAACAGCAACTTTAAGCTAACAGAACAGATGTTATGTTAAGTACCATATGTTTAATATCATTGTATGTTTCCACTGAAACAATACCGATATAAAGCTGTTATCGATATTGTCAAAATACAAATGACACATTCGTACATATCTGATGCAAAAATTTAGCCGTTTTTTAGCCGTTCCCTATATAAGTATATATCCGATATATTTAAAAATGTAGTCATTCGCTCTTATAATCTAAATATAAATCCTTTATTTGCTCTGAACATTGTTAACTGTGAGTAACCCAAAAAATGCTGAATAGAATGGACCCTTTTGTGATTGTGTTTGCCTTGCCTTTGACTTCGAGCCGATTAAAATCCTAATTGAATAGAAAAAACATATTGGTCAAATCGTAAAAATTTTTCTATTCTCTAACGACCTACTTAATATATAAAGATAATTAATTTTTGCCATATACTCAAGACTCGAAGTTTAGTCGGCTTCAAATATTAAAAAATCAAAGAGAGGATTTTTTTGTTTGGTGATAATGCAAAACAACAGTGGAGCACTCATCTTTTCGTAGTGGAAGCTCTGTATTAAATACTGAAATAAGTAGAAGCAGCTTATCGATATCTTCTTAGCTATGTAAGTTCCATCACCAAGGGGCCGAATGGCGGCGCGAATGCAATTTTACTAATTTTGCTAATTTGAACTCTGTTTACTACACTTAAAAGACGTCCGTTTGGAAGTAAGTAAAACTCCTGCTATTCATTCACAGTTTGGTATAATCACGAACCATGTCGGATTCGTCTTTTGCTGACTCGGTAAGCTTTTGTGGTGCTTTGGAGTTAGTTGTTGAATTTGACTTTTGTTTCATTTAGTAGAATTCAGATTCTGGACGGTCAGAGTCTGATATTACTTCAGCCAGCTCCAATATCAGCGCAACATCTTCACCGAGTGGCTTCAGTTCAAGCTCAAGTTCCTCTTCCCATTCTTCGAGAGACAGTTCCTCACAACCCGGGCAGGATTACGCCTTTAGTGGGACTATGGACGAATCGCACGATTTAGAAGATGATTCGCACAACCAGACTTCTAATAATACACGTAATTCGAATGAACAAATTGCTCAGATGCTGGAGGACATTGATTCCAGTAAGTCAACAGCAAGTACCGTATAAGCCATACACTATATTTATTGTTATTACAGTCTCTCGTTATTGCGAAGAACTTGTCTCCCAAGTCGAGTTACCAACTACCTCTACACCGACAGTAATTCAAGGCAGGCGTCGTAGACTTGACGGTAAGTCCAAACTATGGATATCATTCATTTGCAGCCTATAATTAGTAATAACATTTTGGGAACATAATATTTTTATTTAATCCTGCAGTGACACCAGTGGAAGTAATAGACTTGTCCAATTTCGAGTTTGTACCGCCTGCTCGACCGCCCACCAATCGAGCTCCAGACGCTGTGATCGATTTGTGCACCCCAGATAGATCTAATTCAGCACATCGTCGCATCACTTTGCAACAATCAACATCCACTGCTGTCGTTGTAGACCTCGATGATCCGTCGCCACCAAAGCGCTCATGTCTCAAACTTGACCAGTCCGAAAGCGAGGAATCGTACAGGTGCCCGGTGTGTCTGGAAAACGTCCGCCGCCGTGAACCAGTGTCGACCAATTGCGGGCACGTTTTCTGCAAGGACTGTCTGATTGCCGCCATAAATAGTGTACACAAATGCCCGCTGTGCAACAAAAAGATAACACGACGTCAATTTAACCGCATTTACCTGTAAGGTGTGTGCTCTGTGAGCCACATCGAGTTATTATTAAAAAAAAAAATTAATTTAATTAGGCCTTAGTTTATATTAAAGACGGTAAAGATGTTCCGTGCTTGTGATTCTTACGTGATTTTTAAGTTTTCCGTTTAACCAGATATAAAGAATATGTAAAGAATTATTTTTGTAACAAAAAGAAATTCAATATAATTTCCAAAACAAATCACCGAAGCAGATAAAGATTATATACTCATTAATAACAGGGTTCATTTCGCTTTATTTTTTGTATTATTATATTTTGATAAGCAAATTTTCCTGTACATAAAAAATGTAAGAGAAAACTTTGCATGCCCGTCAAATTTTTCTGTCTCGGAAACTTTAGTGTGTAACATATTCTCTACAAATAATGATTTTGGAAAATATAATAAAGACCGTAGTTAGCCGGTTTTTTTGTTTCAATTAATTTCGAACGTTGTTCAGTCCGTGGAAAGTAATTCCAAAGGGGCACAGACGTAAAATAAATGCTGTAAAATGAGTCACACTAGCTTAAAACAAGAGACGGAGGAAAGTTCGGAGAAGCGCCATGTAGACCTGCCGGTGTATCCAAAACCTTTACCTGAGCGGGATATAAGCCGCAAAGTTGACGAAAATCAGTTTACCATGGCGGAGAAGGCGGCCCTGAGGAATGCCTGGCGTTTTATTGAGCCATTTCAGCGTCGATTTGGCCAGGAGACTTTTTACAGGTACCAGTTCTTTTAGTTCCAAAGATTCCCTTTACCACTAACATGCAAACGGGTCAGCTTCTTGACTACACACCAGGATCTTATCAATTTCTTCAGACGCGATGGCAAAATCAATATGAGTAAGCTTCACGGGCATGCCATGGCTATGATGAAACTGATGGGAAGACTAATTCACACCTTGGATTTTAATCTGCAGTTCCGAATGGCCCTGGATGAAAATCTTCCCTCACACATGAAAAATGGCATAGACTCTAGTTACATGAAGGTTTGCCAATGAATATATAAATTATTTGAAATATTTGCATTAAAATTATTACTATTTTCCTTTCTATTTAATTCATTAGATGCTAGCTAGTGCCCTCAAGAGTTACATTCTTGAGTCGTCGGTCATTGAGAATCACAAATCCTGTACGCTGACCTCTGCCTTTACCCGACTGGTACAAATTATAGAAGAGTATGCCGAAGTGGATGAAGCCAGGAAACGAGCCTTTTCCACCGCCCTGAGGCAAACAATAGATATATTGGGATCCCAAGCGAAAACAAGTCTCTGAAGTTGGCTTTGAGTAATTGATCTAAAATAAAATTATATTGTGCATTCGTTTGATGTGTTAAATATTTATATTTATTGATGTGTTCCTTGAATTCCTTTATAATTTATTATTTTTCAAACGAAATTATTAAAAATGAGTAGCAATGACGCAATGAATTCCCCCTCAAATATATCTAGTCTTATATACCCAAAACCATTGCCTGAAATGAGGATAGGACCTGTTATGTGCATTATGGGATTCAGCCTCAGCGAGAGATTGGCTTTGAGACAGGCCTGGAATATAATTCGACCGTTTTCGCGTCGCTACGGGCAGGATGTGTTTTACAAGTAAACTCAACTCACTCCTTAAATTATTTATATAGTGTTTATGTATTATACAGATTCTTAATTAAGGAATTTTGGGGCATTAAAAAGTTCGAAAACGATAAGGAACTCAATCTGATGGCTCTGCACAGTCATGCCTTGAAATTTGTACGGTTTATTGGAGTCCTGATCGAAGAGCAGGATCCTATAATGTTTCAGCTAATGATTAGCGGCAATAATATGACCCACAGTCGCTGTAAAGTGGGCTCCTTATATATTGGGGTATGTTAATTGCTCAAATACTGTAATCTATATCCTGTTGACATTAAAGCAGACAACTTTTCATCATAACAATCTTGAGTTTTTTCGTGGTTTATTTATCAGGAACTGGCCAAGGTACTGGTGGACTATTTGCTGAATACATTACAGATGGTCAGTTCGCCCACGCTGGAGCGAGGCTTTGGCAAACTTGTGGAGAAGTTTCAGGTCTACCAGGACAACCATACGACAACCAGAACCTATGGTCGCCTGACGAAGAATTAAAGGAGCACTTTCATACATACCCGATTCCAGAGGAAAGCTAGCACATAAATTGGAATTATATCGGTCTCTGCCTCTGCCACTGCCACTGCCACTGCGATATCAGGCTCTTTATATCAGCCTCTGTCGCAGTCGCAGTTGCCGTCGCAGTAGCCGCTGCTGGCGATTTTCGTTTAGCTGCTAAGCGCCTTTCCTTGGAGAATTTCAGTTTTGCCTCGACGCTCATCGCGCCCATCCGCACGTTTTAATAGTTTAAGCGGTTCAGCGAAATTTCAAACGATCACAATAATATAGAAACAAAACATAAACCACAAAGGCAGCCAGTGAAAAGCCAGTATTTAAGTTGTGGCCCTTTCATCGCTGTAACTTAAAATATGGTGGCCAACGAGGACATTAAAAAGGTACTACAACTTTTGGCTTGCGGAGGGTTCTGGTTTTTCAATTTAAAATTGAAATCAAACTTTAAATCAGTTGTGCGTGTTTAAGATAGACTAAATTTATAGCCCATGATTGTATTAAACAATAAACTAGATTATAAAATATTTATAGAAAAAACTAAGGCTTATCTTAAGGCGATAATCAATTAGAGGATGCCATAAAAATTAAATTAGGAAAAAATTATACATTGTATTAAATTATATATGTATGATTGTATCAATATCCTTCAACTAAGTCCTAACTGAACTAGTCAGTGAAGCTATCTTTGTATATTAGTAAATGAATATTTATAAATATCCCCAAAAGTCGTCTTAAATCAGGAAAACTTAAGTCCAAATTGGGGCACACAGACTTTTTTAAATAAAACAGACAAGGTTTATGATAATATGATGGCCACTATGCGTTCTTGGATTCACATACAAAAGCATACACCCTTTATTAGGTGATCCTTATATTATACAGATGGTATATTTATTTATATAATATTTAATAATCTACCAAGTCATCTGTCTGGTTAATAACTCTTAATAAACTTTAATTTCAGCTACAAGCCCAATAACTAACCACTTAAATTTGCATTTATTGTCATAATCTTGACTTCTGCCATTAAACTAATTTATTAGGTAATGATTGGGAAACGATTTCCAAGTGGGCAGCAAAAATATCTAATCAAAATATCCCCTGCCGAAGAGCCGAAGAGGTTTACACAAAGTTCAAGATTTATAGGGTCTACTATGAACAGTTTTGTTTACGGACTCGTTGCCAGGCCTACATACTGCTATGCTACTTATCAATGTTATAAACCAGAGATTAGAGCTGACTTAGGGTTTCGAAATCCTTAAGGATCAAGAGTTTTCTACTTGCCCTTGGCTCTGGGACAGACTATATACATTTCTGCTAACCGATTGCCATCAAGTGATCCGTCAAGTGGCTCTTACCAAACGATTCGATCGGGCATTAGGAAGTCATATTGCCATAATTGAGTGCCAGGGGCCAAGGAGGGTCTTATCGGAGGGAGTGGGGTCTACGGAACCATTAACACGCTCAAGATTTTTGGGGCGGCCATCAAGAGGCGTGCGTTTCACGCAGCCACTAACTGCTTTCGATAACACCCGAAATTTGAAGACCACCTTTGAGCGTGACGATGGCCTTTTATTTCAGATTTAAGATTTCAAGAAATACAAAAACACAGTTTCCAGTCGTCCAAGTGAATCATTTACCAGCCAAATGATAAGGATTTTGTACAGGCTACTACTCCCTCCATATTGCTATTGGACTTTTATCAAGTCGAAAGCAGTAGAGCCATAATCGCAGTAGCAATATAATATAATGTACATAGTTTCAGTCGCGTGCCCATCGCTTTTAGTTGTTTATGTTCTCGGGACATGTTTACACAGGGTTTATCTGACTTGCACTGATTGTTGAGCAACAGGAAAATACAAAATAATAATATTTACATATCAATAACGGCATATCATGGTCAAAGGTTTCCGGCAAAATGTAATGAATGCAAATGCACATATTGAAATGTTGTAAAAGTCTCTTGACTGAGTCAGATGGTTTATGGTTAAAACTCTCCTGGCTCTGGATATAAAATGACTTCATTTCATTATGAGTAAGGTTTAAGGTTTTTCTTAGTCAGGGCAGACAGCATATTGATGAACTTTCTCTGAGTCTAAGTCTAAAAAAAACGCAATGACTTGTTGCTCTTTATATGTACAATAAAAAAGATAAAATTTATAAATAAGTAAATGTAAAGGATTAACTTTTAGTTTTTTGTACGATTCTTAATTTATGATAATCCAGACAATTCTAGGCCAGATGGTCTAGAAGCCTTCTAATTAATTTACTTTATTATTAAGGGCAATAAAAAATAATCTTTATAATTTGACAATTTTTGTATAAGATCAGCGTATATAGCGTTGTTCGTCATCGCCAAAAAGTTGACAATGTTTTGCATACAGTCTTATGAATTAACGCAGTGCATTTCTTGTATTAATAATTCCCTCCTAGTCACTCGTACTAGTTAAGCTTAAGAATTTTACCCTAAGCATTATACATTTTTAGGAATAATAACATTGAGTAAGAACTTATCCTAAGGGACTGCATTTCTATTTAGTATTAGCCACTATGACACACACACCTAAATCCCTTAAGACACTTTATCGCGGATGTTTTATTTTCATAGCCTATTTATAAGAGTATTCAAATGGGATAGCACACCTTGAAACTGAACCGGTAGCCGCAGGTAAACAATTCCCCCTCCCCCCAACAATATTGCTTTAATTACCGCATGGGCAATGGACTTGAGCAAATTAAGGGAATTGCGTCAATAAAAGAAATTGTTCTGTCGAACGACCGAGCTGCTGCAGTGGCACGGTCGTAATAAAGACAAGGAAAATGTGGGCGTGTAAGCGTGTAGCGGAAACATTGAACATAAAAGCTCACCCTTGCACCCCCCCAGAGCCTTATGCATATGCAAGCAAGTCTATAATCCGACATTGGCCAAGTGCATTGCAACGACGGGCCTCCCAAATACAAAAACAAGGCGCTCACTGAACTTGGCGTCGGGAAAACAGAGAAAAGCGACCGCCTAACAACAACAACAAAGTAAACAGAGCGAAGCAAACGGCGCAAACTAATTAGCATGTGATGCGGATGAGTAGAATGAGTAGCGTCTATCCGTGCACACTGGCAGAAAAATTGATACCTAAACTCTGGGGTACCTTATCTCTCAAAAGTTGAGTTAATAAGTTTATAAAATAAATCTATGGTTTCATGTGGAGGTTTACCTGTTTATAGTAGTTAAAAGGTTTTGAAAACTAAAACATTTGGGAAGACAAAATTCTTTAAAGATTTCCTTCTATTTTCCTATGTAGTTTATAGTAAATATAATCTCTCAAAAGCATCTCATCATGTCAGGTCCAGATTATAGAATCGAGTGTACAATTTTTTATTAAACAACTATTATTTTTTGGTGTATGCTGGTGGGTGTGTCTTATGCCCGGCCTCTCTCGCGATCTCGCTCTCCACCGGCGGCTGTTCGACTTGTTTTGGGTGTGAATGCGGCGACAGGTTTCTTTTGGCATGCACTTGACGCCATTTAGGTGTACGTGTTTTCCTTTATAATTAAACATTCCATTTTAATATGCTTTTAAGCGGCCGCTTGCAGTACCCATTAAGGATTCTATTTTATTTACAATGATATTTTGGGTTTGTAATCTAATTGGAGACAAGCTTCTTTCCATTTATGGACGGCGGATAAAGCTTGCTAGATATAGTTATCGGAACTGTTGTTTGGCAAGTGCAACGACAAACGCATCGCAATGCATTAAGCAATTTAAATTTAACTGATTGTCGGAAGTATTTCTTTCGCTTGGACTTTGTTCGGCTCAGGTGCGGTGGCGTATGCGTAATATCCTCGTTTAAATTGATCATCTATTGATGAACAATTAAAATGCCAATGTATATAGTTTTGCAAGCTATCTTCATAGTATATTGAAATATTTCCTACTCTTTTTATTATTATTCAATTTTACACATCTATCAGGTCAGCTTGGTTACGGTGGCGTATACGTAATTTTTGAGTGAATTTATCTTAGGAGCTTTTTGAAATGCTTTTAATTAATAAATTATTTATATGACAATAAATTTTGGTTTAAATATTTTCAGGAAGAGTTTTTCAGTAACATTTAGCCATAATTTATGTAATAATTTTAGTGAATTTAAATAAATAAACTTGCAAGGTTTACAAGCATTGAAAAGCAAATAAATGCATTCATAAACAAAGATGATCGGTTTCTTGAATCCTAAAGCTACCTTGAGGGTTTTTTCCAAGTTCCAACAGGTTGTAATATTCATTTTGTAATTGGCATCCCTTTGTATTCCCATTTTCCGGAGGAAAATCCATTTGTCTCTGACGTAAAACAAAAGATTCGGCTGCATTCGATGCGCGTAATCTGCTGGCAATCAAACGAAATGCCAACACAAGCGCCAGATAAAATAAAATAAAAGAAAATGCTTGGCAAAATAGCAGAATTTAGCAAAGATTCGAGATGAAAATACGTTTTCCCAAAGAGTCCAACATTTCAGTCGTCTCGAGGTGCTCGCACGAGACAATCCACTGCCCCCAGGCTGTGGCTAAAATTAGCGGAAAAATCAAAACAATCCGTTTCGTTGAGATAATTAATGACACGGGATAAAAATAAGTGGAATATAAGCTAATATATACAAACCATAAAACAGTGTTCTTTTTTACAATAACAAAGTGTCACACACTTTGGCACAGTGCGTTATTTCTGCGAGATCGTCTTATATAAGGCGTCCGTAAAGAACCCGGAAATCGGCCAAGTGGCGAATGGATTCGGAAAAGGTGGTTCGCGCAATGGCACGTTGGTGGCAGGTAAAGAAAAGTGTCAAAGTGGCAGAAGAGAAAGAATTTCGTAATTTCAATAGTATCCAGAAATACTTGTAAATTACAAAAATATATCTAAGTTAAATATGTAACAATATAAAGTTTAACTATAGGCAACTATAGATTTTATTTAATAATACTCAAGTGAAAAATGCATTTTGTTATTAAAAAAAAGTATCTTTTATAAAAGAGTCTTGTATTTTACAACAGCACGAAAATATACTTGGCGGTCTACATCACATATTAAAGTTTTATATTAGATTTATTATTATAAATTTATATTGTTTTTTACTTTCTCTTTAGAAGATTTTTAGCGTCACGTATTTTTTGCTTAGACGTTTCTTTGGCGTGGCTTATTTTTTGTTTGGTAGTTTCATGAAATTGTTTCCTGACATCGCCAGGTGTTGGAATCTTTTTTAAGGTTCTAGCTACTTTTATGCAGGTGTAAATTGCATTTATTGCTGTCCAAATAGTTGTGGCAACAAATGTAATTATTGTAACAAGAGCCGCGAGCACGGATGCGACCGTTATCATTTTAAAATAAATTCAGGAAATTTCGTTATAAACAGAATTTAGAATTTGTAATTAATAATCACTAACTATTTTATTTACAGACTGTTAGTCAGGAGGATGGCGATCCAAACTCTCACAATCCCATGCTCTACGATCCCCTGCAAGATGGTGTGGTTAAGACTTCGAAAACTCGTCAATACCTTGCGGCTCTGATAAGTAAGAAACATAAAAGGTTATTTATTCCAATGAAAGAGTTAATTAATAAATATATTTACAGTTTGCTTGGGCGCGGTTGCTGCGGGTACGGCTTTAGCCTGGACGAGCCCTGTTCTTCCCAAGATTACGGCTAATGCTAACAGCACAGTGATCACTAACTCAACTATTGGTAACTTAACTATTAGTAACTCAACAATTGCTAACTCGACAATTGGTAATTTGACAATTGCCAATGTAACTGTTTCCACTCCGTTGCCCAGTGAGGATCGTCTTCAACTGACTGTCGATCAAAGTAAGTTCTTATATATATATATTCGTTGTAAGCTTGCCCTTTGTAATGTTTAACTTAATGGCTATAAGACTGCATTGATAAAGCTATTTATAGGATTGATAACCCAGAATAGAGTACTTAACAGTGTTGAACAAAAGTATTCCATGTAAAGTGATTTCTAAACCACAAAAATATGGAACTTTCTAAAGGGGATACTATTTGAAAAGTTTTATGATTATGGTTTTAAATAAATTGAAAGAAATAAACATACTCTTAAATCTCAGGCAATTCTCCTTCACAGTGCCCTTTACTTTAAACACGAATAGCTGCTACAGATTAGATTAAGAATCTTGGGAAGAACCGAAACGTTTCCAATTTCTATAAGCTTTGTTTATAAATTATTGAAATATTATCTGCCTTGCAGTAATAAGTGGTTAGGACCTACGCGACATGCTAGCTATAGATAACGAAGATAACAAAGTCCTACATACAGATAATACGTCATTGCTAATAGTTATATGGGTGATATGTGATATAAATGGTGTTTTCGTTTTTTGCAGCAACCTGGGTCAGTTCTCTGCTGGCTATCGGTGCCTTCCTCGGTGCCCTTCCCACCGGATATATAGCAGATACAATCGGCAGACGATACACAGCCATGGTCATGGACATGCCTTTTATTTTGGCCTGGATTTCAATTAGCTTTGCCCAATCGGCCGGCTGGCTCTACGTGGGCAGATTTCTGATTGGTAAGTAAAATATATATAACACTGAACTGAATCTCGGTTAATGTGGAACACATCCTAGGTATATCCACGGGTAGCTTCTGTGTAGTGGCTCCCATGTACATCTCGGAGATTGCAGAGACGAGCATTCGTGGCACTTTGGGCACTCTGTTCCAGCTGCTCCTCACGATCGGAATTTTGTTGGTATATCTGGTGGGATCCATGGTCACGTGGCAAACCCTAAGTATGATCTGTCTTTTGATACCCATTGCTCTGTTCTGTGGCCTGCTTATCCTGCCAGAAACACCAGTCTATCTACTCAAGAAGGTTAGTAAGCTGGTTAAACACATATTTTCCACTTAGCTACTGATCCCTCTCACATTCCAGGGTCGACGTTCCGAGGCCGCTCTTTCGTTGAAGTGGCTATGGGGTCGCTACTGTGACTCCCGTAGTGCCATCCAGGTGATCCAGAATGATCTGGATCAAACTGTTGCGGATGCCTCCGTCATGGACCTCTTCAGCAATCGTGGCTCCCGCAAGGGCCTGGTAATCTCCGCACTTCTTATGGTCTTCCAGCAGTTCTCGGGCATTAATGCGGTGATCTTCTATACGGAGTCGATCTTCCAGTCGGCGGGCACCTCCCTCAATGCCTCCCTCTGCTCCATTATTGTGGGCGTTGTGCAGGTGTTTATGACCCTGGCCTCATCCCTGCTTATCGAGAAGGCTGGACGCAAGATACTGCTGATCTTCAGCAGTACGGTGATGACCATCTGTCTGGCCATGCTGGGCGCCTACTTCAACATGAGTAATAGTGGCAAGGATGTGTCGTCCATTGGATGGTTGCCCCTGCTCTGTGTGGTGCTCTTCATTATCAGCTTCTCGGTGGGATACGGCCCCATTCCCTGGCTGATGATGGGCGAACTCTTCCTGCCCGATGTCAAGGGCATCGCCGTTTCCCTTACCGTCATGCTGAACTGGCTGTGCGTCTTTGTGGTGACTAAATGCTTTAGCTCCATGAACGATGCACTTGGATCGGATGTCACCTTCTGGTTCTTCGGAGCCTGGATGACACTGGCCACTATTTACGTGGCCATTGCAGTGCAGGAGACGAAGGGCAAGAGTGCCAGCCAAATCCAAAATTGGCTAAACGGTCGCTAGGGACTCCTGCAAGGGTATCCAGGATTTTAGAATAGTCTAGCTAAATGCCATTGAACTCGTAGGTGAATAAGCCCAAAAAATTAATAATGAGATAAATTAATATCCTTGCGTATGAGATACATGATCCATATAACACATATTAACTAGGGATGTAAAGACAAGCAATCCTTAGGATCTATCTTTAAGAGGAATGTTTACTATTTTGTGTACTTTCTATCTATAATTTAACAATCCAAGTTAATACATTCTTCTCATATGCTCGCAAAGGTAATAATGTTTGGGATCCGATGACATTATCACGCAAAAAGTACAATTAAACATATCTATGTTATAACAAGTGCCTTATGTTTCAATTGACTTTCACGCTTACATTAAGTGTAGTGCAACTAGTTCCTAAGTACTCATTTCCGAAATGATTTGATTTCTGCCGTGTTAAGCCACCTCCCCTTTTTTTTGTAGATCGTTTTGTTGTAAATAAATATATAATTGTTAAGTTGGCAAAGACATGTAAAATATGTTATATACAGAAATAAATTCACATATATTTGATAATAAACGTAAGCTATTCGTACAGAAGGGCACTGTATTTGTATGGCAGACTGATAATGATAACCCCAGGGGTCCGAATACGCCCCTAAAACTGGGTTTGACCATTATCAGGCCTCTCCGGCGATCGACTGGAGGTTGGCGACAAGCCACGCCTACACTTGGCGCCAGAGCTTTCCACAGCCCATCTCCGCCCCATCCGCCTCCATGGTCAGTGTGAAGGTCATCGTCGGTTGATTGATTGATAGACAACGGAATCGCCAGATCGACGCACAAAACGCAAATTGAAATCGTGCCAGCTGCTGCCTGTCTCGTTTCCACATTATGCATTATATTGCCAATATTTTTACAGTAAGAAAAGTAGATAAATATTCTTCGAGATCTGCATTTCAACATTTCACATCTTTTGAATACTAAAACAGGTGCTGTTGGAATATTTTCGAACAATTTCAAATGGTGGCTTGGGAAGTTGGTAATATCATAATAGTTTATCAAGTAATCAATTTTAAATAAAAGTTAATTATATAATCATATAATATCTGGAAAAAATGAAATCAATAAGTAAAATAAATATTTATTAATTAATGTTACTGCTACTTACCCAAACCCCTTTTCTGGCATATATTTCGTTGGGTGTATGCAAATATTTATCGCAATTACAGGAAGCCCATTGAAGTCAGTATTTGCTTGGATATTTGCTCACATGTTCAACAGGTTGTCGACAATCAGCAATATATGTTTATCGTCAGCAAATGGAAAAGTGGGAGTGATACTGTCACTAGGTATCATTAGGTGTACTGCTGCCTTTGGACGTTCGAGTGTCTGGTAAATAAATGGATTGGTTTGAATGGATTTCGGATTAGGTAGGACAATATAAGGTGAATTTATGTCAACAAAAAAACCAGTGAATATATTAATAATCCGTTGCCTAAATGGGCAATAAACGTATATAAACTGTCAAGCTATTATAAAGTATTGAAAATTATATTTTATCCTTGAGTCGAAACTTCTTCTGAGTGGTTTTTATTTTATCTTGTAGTTGAAAGGTAGTTTTTTTGGTAGCTAATCATATCTATTGTCTGGTTTGAACATTATCTCACTATATTGCTAACCGACTTTAAAAAGACATAAATACTAGAACAAGCCTTATCAATCCAATTGTGTTTTACCAGAAAACGTCTAAAAATAGTTAATTGTTAATGGAGTCAAAACAACAAAGTGTTTTCCAACTGTCAACCTCACAAGCCTCTCGTCGCCGAGATTGGTTTTATTTATATATGAAACGTTACAGGAATCATTAATGCTCATTTTGGTTCATTAAAATGCTGTCAAGACTGTATAACCAGTTTATAAAATCGTCAACTGTTTTTCTTTACGATTAATTTGTTATCACTTTCAGGAGGTAAATTAAGTATTTAATGTACTAAGTGTGGTGATATTAAAATAAGTATTTCACGTGTTGATTGTGATTTCCATGTATATCATGTTGGTTGTTCCGGATGGCGTTAACCAGAATTTCCACTTCCCTGCCAGAGATGATATATAATAAGCATTTCGGTTGACTACCCAGACGACATTTCAATTAGCAAATGCGTGCGGCACATCACGCACGTTACTGGCCAACTAGCCAAGCCACTTAATTGCGTATGTACTAACTGTATCGATAGGCCATCGGAATAAGTCAATCCCCCCGGTCGGGTCAGGTGCATGCTAATTAACTTCCTCAAAGCTGTGATTCACACCACAGATAACTATCGGCCGAAATTACTCAAAAGTTTTCCACGGCACAGTCCGGAACTAGAGGTCTATGAACACCTTAACAGAACTTTAAATGTGTTTTTATATGTCTGTTTATTTTTCATTGTCAAAAATGGCTGCGAGAGCGTGAACTGAACAATTGTTGACTAGACAGACCCAGACAAAGCGTTGATAAAAATCGGCAAAAATTCCGGGCTCAACTCTCTCTCAACTGAGCTCAGTTCAACAATCGCGTTTAATTCGCTATGATAGTGGCTCTTGTCTGGGATATGTCTGGTACTATGCCATACAGTGATACCTCAATAGTTATAAACATTTTTACCGGACATGACTCAGCTGTTAATGCTTATCAAGAATATAAGAATATAAGGTCGGAAATGACTCCTAATTATAATGATCTGCAAGGGTATAATATTGTACCAAAAGTTGGCGCCACAGTTAGCGAAAACTATCGTAAGGTTAAGAAATCAATAATGGAGAATAAAATATAATTTAGTTGGGCTGTTTACTTTGATAGCACATTAGCAAATATCCCTAATACAAATTGCTGTATCATCCTAAACGAAAATATACTAATGGGGTCCATGGTAATAGGCACTGGCACTAGCACTACCAACTCCACTTAAGATGTTAACACCACGGACGCCACGGACAGAATGAGGCCGGAGCGGCGGTAGTGCCTCTATTTATAGTCCCCGGGTGAAGAGAACAGAGAAAGTAAGAGCGAGAGAGTAAGAGCTATCACTTGAGCTAAGCAGAGAGAGAGAGACAGAGAGAAGGGGGTATCTCTAGAGATGCATGCAAAGGGACATACCAAATTGAGTGTACGAGAGAGAGGCACATAGAGGGACTTAGAGAAAGCAATTATAAGAGGGAGGGAGAGCTATTTATTCACTGTCAATAAAATATTAAATTATTACAAGAGGGGAAGTTAACTTCGGCAGGTCGTAAAGATAAACGAATATGGGTAAATCAACTTGGCTATTGATCAAGAATATATATACATATACATACATATTATATATATATGATTTTATTATTTAGTATTATTTTAAGTTTAACGCTTCTGTAATATAAATAACTTAATTAACTCGCTTCGCTTAACCTATATTACGGAAGCTCGACTGTGTTATGCTCTAGTTGGGCGATTGTGTGCGTGAGATTCCTATATATTGTACAGGAAAGTATTATCTAGCTGTGCACTTGCGACTAAGCAGACTCTGCGAGTATAAATACGTCTGTCATAATTCCGCGGCTCAATTTTTTCAAGCCCAACACAAAAGCGTCAAAACACTCACGGACCGACATCATTTTAATTCCGGCCGCCCATCCAAACAGTTAGCTGTGATCTCTTTGCAGTCAGATACTAAATTAATTCTCACATTACCCGAACACCGCGACCTAGTCCTATCCGAGAGTGTTTCATTGATTACCCACTAATTGATAATTTCGGCTTCAAAATGGGTGAGTCGTCGGCCTACTTACAAAAGTGTTTGTTTTTTGATTGCCAATAATTGTTTACCCCGCTGCCGCCGAGTGCTGATAAATTGATCATCGAGTGTCGCCTTGAATTATTATAAATATCAAATATGTATTACTATATATTTGGCTGCTCTGATTAGGGCCTACACATAGCCATTATCGCACCTGACATGAGCATAGGTAGTGGCCCAATGCTTTCCCGAATGTAACCTAGTTACCAATTTTATTAGTTTCCATCTGATGTCGTAGCGATCGATCCACAAATTACTCTGCTGTGTATAAAGAGTTATTTCATTGGTTTTTACCAAAAAAAAAAAAGCATTTAAAGGATAATTGTGTGTTAAATCGAACGGTATGCTTAACATAAATTAAACATTTCTTAAAGTCTGGATATTTGAAAGCAGTTACAATTTGGCAAAACAAAATTTGGAGTGTTGTTGTGTTATTACAAAAAAACAATAATTAAATATTCAAAATTTTATCGCATTTCAAGAAAATTGAATATTACTTTTCCTGTGGAGTTCTATTATTGTTTTGTTCTGAGTCTAGAAAACCATTTGTAATTGTAATTGTAATTAGTAACAGACAATAAGCAAAAGGGTTGGTAATACCAACCCTTTCAGTTTATAAATGAAACTCTGTTGGTAAAGATATTTTGATATATACTAAACTTATTTTTTCGATCCCCGTTTTCCCCACAAATTAGTTAAATATTGACGTTAACTACTATATTAAACAAACAATACGATCAAAACTTAGTAGCTTGACAAATAAGAGGTCCCCGTACGAAGCTTAGATAAGCCGCGGAAAATTTTAGACATTATTACCAATGTTTTTCCATTGGACGCTGATGGGTTAAGAAGTTTCAGATAACCTTAACGGGAAATTGTTTATAAACTGTGGTGTCCAAATTATTCCAAAAGCTTATAAAAAAATCCGGTCAAGATAAGTTTAAATAATCAAATTGTAGGTGCTTCAACAATTTCAGAGATAATAAAAATCTGTTTGAATTATTGCCCAAAACACAAACGTAGGAATTCGGTCAACAATGGCTATAAATTAATTCTACTATAACTTTCATTCACAAATTTAAACAGGAAGTAATACATTTATTTGAAAGTCAAGTAAACGGTACAATGATCCATGACTTTGCGTAACTATAAGAATAATTACCACCGATATTGATGTGAAGGATTATGCCATAAACATTGCACCATGGGGGATCAGTTTAAAGTGTTTTATTAAATTCTGTTGAGTGCACAGGTGTTTCTTTCTGGCCTCCAACTTGTTGAGATACTTATTACCCCCCAAGAAGATATGACAATCGCTGCTGTTATGAGAGCCTTTCACATCCCCCTCGATGTGTCTCTGGGCCTATCCACAGTAATTGTGTCAACACCTTCGAAATAAAACTAACAAAATAACTCAAGGACACCAATGCCAAAGTGCATCAGAAATTACTCAAGAATTATTAATCATAATCAAACTATATTTTACGCAATCGAAGAGGCCTTTGTTTTTGGTTGTCCAATGTAATTCAGAGTGTGAGTGGATGAGGCCACTTATAGATTGTGGCTTGGTTTAAAACCCTTGGAAAACCGGCAATGCCTCCTATATGAGTTATATATTTAAACTTTAGTATACACTAGAAATAATAATTCTAGTATAGTTTTAAAAAAAGGGTAAAAAAATAAATACATTTATTACTACAAATTCAATGTAAAAATAAAACACATTATATATATTTTTGATATTATAACGAATCTAGTACAATCTCTATATTTTTTCAAGTATATCAGGATGGAAGTGAGGTAGCAAGGCAGACGCCCTTTTGGCGGCGGGTCGGGAAAGCAAACAAATTGAGATTGGGGCACCGATTTCGCTGCAAGACCTTATCACATTACAACTGCAGGAATACTTACTATATGGGCCAGTTCAAGTGCAAAATGCACACAAATAGCTCAACTACGACCAAAACAACCGGCTCATCGTTGCAACAAAAATAAAACTAAGATGACAGAGAGAGAATATCGATGGGAGGGAATCCAGCTCTATAGACTGTAAATGGGATTGCCATGGAATGGCAGGCGCTTCCCTGATAAGATAATGCACGTGTAAGAGAGCTCGTCAATTCGAGTATCAATGTGAGCATTATTATTGCCTGTGTATTGGCAGCCATATAAGGGGCAAAATCTTTAAATTCGCGCGATTCCGCGATCCGGACATCATTACAGTTCTCCAGTGAGACCCCAACGGCTTCATCGTTAATTAAGGATCCTATTCTCGTATAGGATTTACTTCGTTTTGAAGGATTTTTTTCTGTAAGCGTGTGCAAAAAGTGAACAGCGAATTATATTCCATACCAGCATCAATCTACTTAATATTCCTCCATTACCGTCGCGCTCTAATGATTGCATAAAATTGCGAAAAGTGTCAACCGCGATGATTACATGAACAATTACGGAAAACCAGCGATAGAAAATAATTTGTATTAGCTTTGTCAGTGGCGTAATTAATTTTATTTTGTACCTCATCGCGCTAAATAATTATAATTAATCTCTGCCGCCTCAGTATCTCGAAATGGGTGTTTAGATTCTCCCATCTAATGCCCTGATAACGTGATGGTTTTAAAATTAGTTGATATGGTGGCAAAGCTGCCAGTGAACCCAACTGAGTGGAACATTATTAGGCTTCCTTGCACATATGGTTGGCATGAGTCATGCTGTCCAAGAAACCGGGCCGGGAATGCAGGGCCAAAGTTCTGGCCATTTGGACTTACAAGCGATTGAATTACAAATGGGGATAGCATCATTAATCCAAGTCAACTGAATCTCTAATGGGGAACTTTCGCTTTTCGACTGCTTACAGCTGCCACTGTACCCGCTACACCAGCCAGATGCCCTCACTAAGGGAAGAGGAGAACAGTGCCAAGTACTCCTATACGGAAGTCAGTACGTTTCAGATAAGCGAAAGAAGCACTCGAAATATGGCACCCGAGCCGGTCAAGTCGGGTCGTATTTTCCTAGCTGCCGTGGCAGGTGAGTTTCATGACTTGTTGAGACGTATATATAATTCCCTCAAACAAATAATTAATAAAGAAACCTTTGAGTAACTTAAAAAGCTCACTATAATTTAAATTTCCATTTGTATTTCCTCAGCGAACTTAGCCGCCTTTGTGGTTGGCACCACCCTCGGCTGGACATCCCCTATTGGACCCAAGCTCAAGAGCGAGGACACCTCAGACTCCCCGTTGAGCAGACCCATAACTGCCAATGAAGATGCCTGGATCTCTTCTCTGATTGCCATCGGAGCACTGGTTGCCCCCTTTGTCGCCGGTCCGCTGGCAGATCGCATTGGTAGGAAGTGGGTGCTCCTGTCCAGCAGCATCTTCTTTGTCTTGGCCTTCGGCTTGAATATGGTGGCCTCCGAAGTTTGGATACTCTATCTCTCCCGACTTGTCCAAGGTTTTGGCGTCGGATTTGTGATGACGGTGCAGCCAATGTATGTGGGTGAAATTTCCACGGATAATGTACGCGGAGCCACCGGATCCCTGATGCAGCTCTTTATTGTGGGTAAGTTCGAATGCAAATAAAAATTAAATATAATAAACAATTGGTAGTATTTTTAAACTATAGTTTTTATACCTTTGAAAGGTATAATAAGTATAGTCGGAATCAGAGTTCCCGAAGTATTTTCCTGTTAAAGTTTAAAGAACTATAAACTTAATAATACATTTTCTCCTTTCTTTTCAGCTGGCATTCTCTATGTATATGCAATTGGACCATATGTTTCTTACCAAGCTCTCCAGTGGTGCTGCATCGTGGTGCCTGTGGTGTTCGATGCTGTCTTCTATATGATGCCCGAAAGTCCGTATTTCTTTGCGGGCAAAGGACGAAAAACAGAGGCCCTTAAATCCCTGCAATTCCTTCGGGGCCAGAGTGCTGAGGGCGTGCACGATGAGATGGCCGAGATCCAGGCCAATGTGGAAGAGGCTATGGCCAGTAAAGGCACCATGATGGACCTGTTCAAGAATGCAGGCAACCGAAGGGCGTTGTTCATCTGCGCCGGTTTGATTTCCTTCCAGCAGCTATCCGGCATCAATGTGGTGCTCTTCAATAGCCAGTCCATATTTGAAAGTGCCAATACCGGTCTGGATCCAGCAATTGCCACCATTATCATCGGTTGCGTTCAGGTTGCCTCCTCGGGACTTACGCCCTTGGTAGCCGATCGTTTGGGCAGAAAGGTGATGCTGCTGACCTCCTCCAGTGTGATGTCCCTGGGACTGGCAGCCCTGGGATACTTCTTCTATATGCAGTTGGTAAAGAACGACATCTCCAGTGTGTCTTGGATGCCAGTGCCGGCGCTGATCATCTACAACATAGTCTACTGCACTGGCTTTGGGCCTCTTCCCTGGGCGGTGCTTGGTGAGATGTTCCCGGCCAATATCAAGTCAGCGGCCTCCTCCCTGGTAGCCAGCACCTGTTGGACGCTGGGCTTCCTGGTCACCTATTTTTATCCCAGCCTCGATGCCCTCGGATCCTACTACGCATTCTGGCTCTTTGGCGGCTGCATGGTGGTGGCCTTCTTCTTTGTCCTGTTCATTGTTATGGAGACGAAGGGTCTCAGCCTGCAGGAGATCCAGGATCGACTCAACGGAAAGCGCAACTAGGAAGCTGAGATTCTTGGTTTGCCAATTATCCGTGCGTTGATGTCCAAGTATTTTATTGGTTAGTTTTAAGTCTAAACTCAATTGTTACATATTCGCCTGTTAAAAGAAAGAAACTCTAGAAATAATAATAATGAAAACAATATAATTGAAGTAAAGAGTTTTTTACTGTTGAATAGTATTCGAAAGTGTGTGCCGAAATAAGCTCCCCTTTGGGTTTTAATTATATTACACGCATTTATAGTCCCAAAAATTACGTATACGCACTGGTGTAATTATACCCTTGCATGGTTTTATAATTTCAGTCAGAAACTTAAAACACCATGAAGAAATCATTTTCATTGAAATAATTATATACTTACATATATATAATATTAATTTATATATGCAATTAGCAATCCGGAATAATAGTAATCCAAAGAGCAGCAATATTAATCGACCTCTAGAGAAAGCCTTAGAGTATGCTATAAAATATGGTCTTAATACCTGACACGTAAGTAAAAATGTGTATTTATTTTTTAGTTTGTAGAGATGTTTTATTGTATCATAATAGCATGCAGGAAAAAATCAAAACTTACTATGGCTCATTGGCTTTGTTTGGAAACACTAAACACATAACATTGAACATATTACAAAACCATACAAAATGGCGCAGAAAACAAAAGAGGCCATGTTGGCCGAAATGGATTTGATCTTCATGAATGATATACTACCCACATGCCTCAAGAATAAAACCACCAGCCAGGTGGTCTACAAGGATCACACGGCTGACATGAAGCGAACCGTGCCGGCATTCCGAAAACAAACAGATGCATCCCTCATCTCCGGTCATTATGCCAACAATCTGAAGGTCGATGGGTTGGAGGTGAAGACCCGGACATGGCCAAGATCCATGGACTGGCGCGAGGAGTATAAACAGTTTGTCAAGCGGAACAAGTGGTGCAATGAGGAGATATACAAGCTCATCTTTGTGAATCCGCCAGTTCGCTACGAACAGATCAAAGAATACCTCAGGGACTTGCTTAGAACAACCTATATGTCCGATTACTCTCCACACTATTATGTGTCCCTTAAGGCTCGGCGTAATGACGACTCGGGGACTGTCATCGATCCCGATAGCATTGACTACCAGACGACCTATGGCAACTACCACAATCGTATTCAGGAAATGGATCCCTTCAAGGCCTTTATCAACGAGGAACCAAAGCCGAAGGATCTCACCTTGGGAGAGTTTGAGAGGGAAATGCGCAAACTGTTCACCAAATACAATCTGACCACATACTATGAGGAGTATTGCCTACCGGCATTGATAAAGGCCAAGGATGGTATAATGCCATCGGGACCCATCGATCGTTACACATTACGCAGGGTGTAAGCTGGATTTTCAGCAAGTTACCTCCGTTCACAGTTCATAACTAGGACAATGCAAGTGAATAATGGTGTCTCTATAAAGCACTTGTGTATCTTAATAAACTTTTCACAGTTAAACTCGTTAAACAATAAAGCATAATAATACCCCAAACGAACAGTAGTTTACAAGGCAATGCACCATTTATCAGTCTACGCTGATATGAAGTTTATTTGCCAATCCGTTCCTTTGTTTCTATCTTCCAGCTATGGGCTATAATCTATAAACATTTCAAAACATTTCCATTTAATTAAATCAAATAGTGAACAGAAGATTCTTGTTGTGTATTCCCCAATTAATTCTAAATAAGAGATGTTGTGTCTTATATAAAATACTATCCGCATGACCAGCCAGTTTTGCTATGCAATCAAAAAAAGCTCTCTCTTTCTCTTTACTTGGGCAAACAAAGTATTGAAGTCAATTGGCTGAGATTATATTAAAACAAAAAGCTAACTGAAACCGGCAGGCAAACATTTTAACATATTCAAATATGCTATTGTTTACTAATAATCAATTCTATACAAATTGTATATAGTAAGCCTATAGTCTATAAATAAAAAGGTAATGGATAATAGACTTTAATTAATAACTTTCTTCAAATAGTGATTCGTAAATTTAAGTAATAAAATATAATAACCCAGCAATATAAATTTAAATTTAAAACATAGTTTACTGATAAACATTGACAAATGTTGTGAAATTGCATAATTAATTTGATAATATTGTAAAGTATGTAGTTCAAAAAGTAAACAAAAAAATTTAATTTAATTTAACAAATTTAAAGGGAAATATAATCAAATAGTATGTGTATGAAAAAATACAAACAGTAGATTTTATTCAGACTAAACTACTCGAAGCTTCTGCGTATCGCGGTTACTATTCTCTTCGCATTGTGACATGTAGAATCGATAGGAAAATATATACAAACATGATTGAGCAGTTTTGATCAGTGTTATGAAAACCGGACTCTCTTAAGCGAAAGCTTTTCGAGAAAAAAGCTACCTTACCCTATAAAAGAAAGAAAAGTCTGGAGCAGAGAGCTCAGTTAAACTGGAAATAGTCATAATATCAAAAAAATGGATCGCTGGACGAATCGTGTTGCTGTTGTTACGGGTGCCAGCTCTGGGATCGGATCGGCTTGCTGCAAGGATCTGGTGGCGAAGGGCATGGTCGTCGTAGGACTCGCTCGTCGCGAGGAGCGTTTGAAGCAGCTGAAGGAATCTCTGCCAGCAGATCAGCAGGCACGCTTCCATGGCCGCAAGTGTGACGTCAGCGTGGAGAAGCAAGTGGTCGATGCCTTCGCCTGGGTGGATGAAACCCTTGGAGGAGCAGATGTCTTGGTAAACAACGCCGGCATTATCAGGCCTTCCATGATTACCGATGCCGACAATGCTGCTGATATGCGAGCCATCCTGGACACCAATGTCCTGGGATTCGTTTGGTGTGCCCGTGAGGCCTTCCGGTCGCAGCAGAAGCGGAATGTCACTGACGGTCATGTGGTGGTCATCAACAGTGTGCTGGGCCATAAAATTCCCACAATGCCGGGCTTTAATTTTAAGATGTACGCTCCCTCAAAGTACGCTGTTACCGCTTTGACAGAGGTCCTGCGACTGGAGTTCCAGCAGAAGAAGACTCAGACCAAGATCACAGTAAGTTTGCAGAAGGTCTTTTTCCTTTTCACTTTGATAAACAAATGTAGATAGTGAGTAGGCTGTTCATATAGTACGTAATCACCGATCCTTATCTTTTTGGATCACTAATACATGATACAGAATATAATGATAATGCTGGGTCACTTATCATTCCATAATTATTTTTCTATTCATAGAGCATTAGTCCCGGAGCTGTCGATACCGAGAGCTTTGATGAAAAACTTAAAGAAGCTATGCCGAATTTCCCCATGCTACGGGCTGAGGATATAGCCGATGCTGTCTCTTACTGCATCCAGACTCCTCCAAATGTCCAGATCCATGAGCTGACCATTAAACCCATTGGAGAATCATTCTAATCGATGCATTTGTTAATGAAATTGGACATTTCAAGATCTTCTAAAGGGGGACCATGCACCATCAAGTGCCGCAAATAAAAGAAATACTATCGATTGAAGTATTGGATACCCAAAGGCCTGGCATCTTGTAAAACAAATAAACCCAGCATGTGGTTAGTTGAGTGCAACTAAATAAACAAATTTCCCTAACAATATTCGAGTAAAAACTTAGTTTTATATTACATTAATGGTTCAACGAAAAAGCTAAAGCTTGAAAAACTTTGCAGTCCAATTATTCCAGGGAACCATTTCGCGAAGGTTTCTCATATTTGTATTAATTATACGGTGGCCTTCTGGCTATTGAGGGTTTATAATATTCATATAGACATATATGTATGTATAATATACAAATAACACACTTTCCAGTTCACAAATAAATAAGTTTTAATAATTGTAAAATAATATGCTACACTGAGATCATTGAAAAACTATAATTTGCATTCTTTATAAGCTGTCCTCTGGTCCTCTAGCTTTGATCATATATAAATGTTATATAATGCTCACATTTCCCAAAAATATATATACGAGTAGTGGCTTTACAAGTAACATTTATTAAATCACTTAAACACATACATATCTTTAATATAGGAAGTACAGGGCCTTTTAGTTGTAGTTAATTACAATACGTCATGGGTTTATCGGGGTATGTATAACATTTTGTCTGTATAAACACCGATTTCTTAAGTTTCTCACCTTCTGTATCACAGTTACATGGTTATTACAAACGTGAGTGCGTGTATTTTTGTTGGTTTTTTTGTGTGTTTTAAACGCATACAACTAGGATAGACAACACATGCATTTGCATCAGTAAACACAACATCTGTATGCGTATATAACTCCGATCATATAGAACTAGCATATAAAGTAACTACATCTGTTGCTGGTGCCAAGAATCCGGCCCAACTTAACATCTAATAAAAACCAGAGTATAAATATAGTTTTGATTACAGTTTTGAGTACGTAACCAGCGTTGAAACGTTTTCTTTTGGCTAAAAACTAATAATACCTTCATCGTACAGTCACCCAGTGGTACCTCCGCTAATTGCTTCAGTTTACAAATTGTATTCACTTTGCCAGAGCGAGCATCCAGCGGGCAATAACCAATTAGTAAAAGCATATTGCGCAGCCGTCTAAAGTCTTTTGAAAATAGCACACTAAGGAGAAGTTTACACGTTACGTTTTCGTTTTTTGCTTAGGTCTACCAAGTACATACATATGTAACTCTAGAATATATTCATGTAGAGTCCACACAATATCCCTAAAACTATATATATGCGGACACACGTGTCATTTGTATATAAGTTTATATATATAAATATATATCTTGGGGGATGGCAGGCTGCAGAAGAGCCTCCATACTCTGTATATAAAAATGCACTAGCAACACAACTGGCATCGCCCGATGGGCGGCAATAGTAACTAACTCACTTTGATGTAGACGGATACGTTTGATATTTGCACCCGCTGCTGCCGCCCAGTGTCTGGAACGAGTGCTCGTAGTCCCTTGGCAGCGAGGAGAGGGCATGGGCACCTTCGGTGCCCGAAATAGTTTTGATTAAACTATTTGAATTCAAGGATTCCAGCTCGTGTGTCTCCGAGCTGGCCAGTTCCACAATGGCCGAGCTGGTGGGAGTCAGTAGCTGCTCGCTGGCGATCACTTGACTGGGTTTGCTTTAAATTAAAATGTATAATTAATTTAAATATTGTGTAAGGAGTAATTCATTACTATTACCGCTCGTAGAACTTGCTGCCGGCACTGTTCCGGTGGCTGCTAATCAAGGGCCAATTGAGCTCCAGGAATCCGTGCTGTGGTCCGGCCACCCTCAGCAGGCTCATCAGAAAGAAGGTGGCGTAAAACCAACTAACGATCATGACCACCACCAGGAAGACGCCAATCTGTATGTAAGGCAGGATATTGGAGGCCATCATAATGCCACCAGCCAGTCCCGTAGTTGCAGCCGCCATCACCGTGGGTCCTATGATCCGAGACAGTACGAACTGGGTGGCTGCTAATCGATCCTTAACCGGCGACATCCGGTAATGAATACCGTAGTGCAGGCTAAAGTCCACCGCCAGTCCAATGGCCGTGCTCACCGCAATACTCTCTAGGATATTGAGCTGCCACCCCAGCAGAATGAGCACGGCAACGGTGTTGAAGATACTCAAGGAGACGGTTAAAACGGCGTATATGGAGATTAGGATATTGACCGTAAAGCATAGCAGAACGACGAGCGATGCAGCCATGGCCAAACAAATGGCAATCAGGGTGTCGTGTGACAGTGTGTCCTGCACATTGTAGAATTTCAGGTCACTGGTAAACCATCCAAACTGAAGTTCCGTAGGTGCCGTGGCCAACTGCTCCTGAAACCAGGTCTCAACGGACTCGAAAAAATCCTTAATATTGATGTAGATGGTGCTGTAAGCCACATTCGACTCGAACTCGATGACCAAGGCTTTTACCACCAGCGGGGTCGACGACGATAAATAGTTGGTGTACTCTGCACTTTCGTTTCCACCGATCACACCTGTGTAATCTTCAGAATGCGCTCGTGAAGGAGATTCGGCAAACTTTGGGCCAGCGACACCGGGTCGGAAAAATGTTGTATCATACATATTGGCGACGCTCTGTGGCAGGCAATACTCGAAGATGTGCGGATCAAAGGGGAACTGGGCATCGCAGCAGGGCGAGCGATCTTTCCGTGTTATGTCCATGTCGTCAATGCATCTGAAATACAAAACATGTGATCTGTAAGAATAATAATATATATTTTAAATTTGCTTCCTTACCTGCGCTTCATGAAATCTATTAGATTCTCGATAAAGCAATTGGGAAGCAACAACCCCAAGGTCTCTTTGTAGAAGGGCTGTTGCCGCACACTCTGGCAAAAGTTAAGGATCCAGAGCTGCGCCGCCTTGCTGGATATATTAAAATTATTGTCGTAGTGTAAGCTTCCATAGGAGTTGGGATTCGTGTAGTCGCCATCGTCCACCGCTTGGATGCCCCACACGAAGTGCATAGGCATCTTGAAGTTCTCGTACGCCTGCAATGATTTTTCGAACCAAAACTGCTGTTTGAGACTTGAATATATCTCGAATGGATGTCGGGCAACGAAGAGCTGAAAATGCGATTTCTCCGGCAACTGCAGTCCTGGATACCAGAACACAATGACGGCGCTGGACGCGCCCAGAGCGCCGAAGACTAGTAACCACAGATAGGCATAGTTCAAGATACTGTGCGTTATGCACTCCTCGAACAATTGACAGAATCGGTTAATTGACTTCTTGCTGGCATGGATCAGTTTTTGCGCAATTGGACGGCGGCACGACATCCGGCTGGCAAAGAGCCGTTCCATGATGGAAACCGAAGCCGGCAGCCAGGTGATCATAAGCACGTAGTTCGTCACCACAACCGTTCCTGCAAAGATCCTGAAATTGTACACACTATTTTAGTTTCTATACAGATTTTATAAATTAAAAACTTACCCGAAACATTTTATGGCCGTTATGGAGCTGCTGTAGGAGGCGTAAAAGGCGCCAGCGGTGGTCAGGGAAGTCACGAACATAGAAGCAGCAGCATGTCGCATTGTGAGTGCCATAATGTTCTCCAAAGACTCCGTGTGATCACTGTTCTCCAGAGGCGTAGGCAGTGCACTCTGAGCTTGGGAAGATAAGGTGCATCGATTGCTAAACCTCTCGGCGAGCACACATTGCCAGATTTTCAAAAACAGAAATACATCGTCGGCGCCAATGCCTATTATCACCACAACAGCCAGCAGGTTCATGTATGGGAAAAAGGCGAACTCAAAGACAATGGCATAGAAAAAGTATGCCAATCCCAGCGAGAAACAAATGGCAATGCAGGACATACACGTGATGAATGCCGATCCGGTGTACAACCAAACGCTGGCCATGACGAAAGCTCCACCCAGGGAAACGAGCCACACATCCGACATCAACAGCTCGTTAAATAACTCGTTCTCCAGGCCCAAATCCATGGCAATGACTTCCACTAGCTCGTTGCTCAGTCCCCTGAGAAATTAGTCAAATATATAAAGTCAATTGGAAAGCAAATAACAAATTAATAAACTCAAAAAAAGTTAAATAATATATAAAAATGGACAAACCGCAGATGTCCCACAAAGATGAGGATTTAAAGAATGTGGATGGGCTTATCATGGATGACATATTGCCGCAAAAAATAAAGTACCTTAGTACCACAAGAGCAGACTACGTCGACCATACGGGCGTTGCTGTTTATAACCCCCAAATTAGGCAGACACAAATGGATCCCTCTCTAATAACTGGCCACTTTGCGAACAATTTAAAGATCTCTGGGGTCGAGGATAAGACAAAGACATGGCCGCAATCCATGGATTGGCGCGAAGAGTACGCCCAGTTCGTCAAACGCAACAAGTGGTGCAATGAGAAGATCTACAAGCTTTTCTTTGTCTGTCCGCCTGTTGACTACCACCTATTACAGAACTATTTCAAGGACTTGCGCAAGACGATCTACATGTACGATTACTCTCCAGATGATTACGCATCGAAAGTAAGTCAGAAACAAAAGACGATGACAGGAATTACATTTGAAGGGGACTATCTTACCACCTATGGATGCTACTATAATCGCTTGCAGGAAATTGAATCTCTTAGGAGCGCCTGCTACCCTTCCAACCGTGTGAAGGACATGACGCTAGATACTTTCTCCACTAATATGCGTAAGCTCTTTACCAAGTACAACGCGACAACGTATTTTGACGAAATTTGCAAACCGGCTCTGCTGAAGGCCAAGAACGGAATAATGCCATCGGGACCCATTGATCGTTATCAATTTCGCAAGTATTAAGCCGGAACCTGCGTACTTACACCTCCTCCCATTCGTGGAACAGTGGCAAGACGCGGTTGGATTGCGCCACAGGCACAAATATCATGGCGTACTTCAAGTAAACGTTGGAGTCCTACAAAAACAGATTTTATGTATATGAAATTAAGAAGGTACAAATAAACATGCTAATTACTTACATTGGATTTCATAAAACTAAAATCGGTGAGGAAGTTCAACACGTTGAATACGATGTTGTGACGCTTACACTCCTCGGGCGCCCTACAAGACGGGATCTCGTTGCAATGGTTGTCCATTTTCAGGTCATGGAAGTACTCATAGCAGACGGTGAGCAGCACCTGCAGATAGGTAACGTCCTCGACGGTGAGGTCGAAGCAGGAACTCTTATTCGCCAGCATGGCGGCATAGTTGGGCAATGACCACGGCCGACAGCAGTCGGTGGTGAGCATTTCCGGCTCGCAGAAAGCCCGATAGCTGGGTACCTCCGTGATCTGGTCTTGCAGCTGGCACATGGCCAACAGGCCGTTTAAGTCAAACAGCGAATCGGTTGCATTGGGGCCGATTCGATGTACTACGAAATGGGAGTACTCCTTGCGTGGCGATGAGTCGCAGAAGAAGCCCTCAATGGGCTGGCGGCGATGTGAATCCACCCAACTATCGGTGGGCAAAGTAGCGGCTTGTTTAAGCAGTCTCCAAGTGCTTTTCTTGGTCTGCACTCGCTCTCGATGCTCTTCCTCATCCACCGACGTGGTATTGTGACCATACTCAATCGGCTCGGTACGCCGAGTGGGCTCCAGGGACGAGGAGGAGGCGCTATCGTTGGTAATCTCGTAGTCTCGGAATACTCCGCTGTCACCCATCCATGTGTCCCTGTCTAGATCTGCGACCGGAGGACTTGTGGCCTTCAATCGCTTTTTGAACTGCATCATTTTCTGAGTCACGACGTCGTGGTGCTCGTGATTGCTTTGATTCTGATCCTTGCGTCGCTTATTCTTGCCTCTGTTTTTCTGTTTGTTCCGGTGTCGCTTATGATTCGGATGTTGTCTGGTCTCCCCGAGTCCCTGCTCCACACGACGCTTCTCCCACAGATCTGAGGGATTTGAGAAAAGCACTCCATGGTGGTCGGTCTCCTGTCGTAGGTTGTACCACGATGTCAAGCGTTTGCCTATCTTTGTGCCGCGCGTCTCGAAGCCCTGAAATATATGTTTTTAAGATTATAATGACATAAAATTAAACATGTCGGTTTTATGTACCAAGGTGGGATCGCTGAAGTCTGGCAGCTTGTTTAGGATGAGGGCCACTATGATGCAGGCGACACAGTAGACGGCAATGGAGACGACCACCAGGTATGGGCGCCTGGCCAGAACATGGTAGTACCAGTTCATTTTCTCCGAATCGAAGCACAACATGACGGCAGCTAAGTATAATTTCCCAATCCTCTTATCCAGTCATTGTTGTCCCGTACTCCCATCAGTGCATCCTTGGCGTTCTCTGGATGGCTGCCTCAAATAACCTTGAACTGGTCTGGGGCGCTCCTTGGGACCGTGCCAAAATTGCTATTGTTTTGCTTTTGTTATAGATACTGGCTGCAGCTGCTGACGGCCAGCTTTTTCGCAGCTCAGTTTAGTTCCACTTGTTGAATTCCATTTTCCTGCGAGTGGGCTACCGTGCAGTTAAATCAGGGTACTTGGAATTAACAAAATCAAATAAAAGAAAAACAATCAAAAACTACGCGAATAAGGATAACGCAGAGACGGTGGAATAACAACAAAAAAGCAGCAAAGGATACAGTTGTGTGCCAGTGCTGAACAATGTCGCTATCAGTGCGGGCTTAACAGCGAGAAAATAGCTGTTTCTGTTGAAAAATCACTAATATGTGAGAATAGGATTATTGGTTAAATAATTTCTTTTGAATTTATATTAGTTAATTTTTAAAATTATAATTATTTTGTTTTAAATATATAACGAAGAATAATTTAAAAACAGGAAAGGAAACTAACTTCGACGTGCAGTATCAAGTCACCTATTATATTAAGAGTTTTACAATTTTACTTTCACAGTTCGGCTTATCCTCTAAATTCATTATAGTTTATATGGCATATGATATGTATATTCATCCGATTTTCATAAAATTAAAACAGAAATTCTAAAATAATACAAAATGACTATATCTCAAATTGGATGAAAATTTGTTGAAAAAGTTATAATTTTTTAGAATATTAATTTATCAGCTATATGATATGGTATTCCGATCCAAAATTGTAAGGCTTATAACTTCGATTTACGAACACGGGCACATATGCACGGTATATAGGCTTACTAGGGGAAGATTAACGAATATTTAGGGGCTGATAGCTAAGGCGCGAACTATGAAAATGGAACCAGATGGGAACCAGCAGAGAACCACTCACTGAACTAGCCATGGAACCATGTTAAGAAAAATACTAAATTAAATAGAAAATGACAAATTGTGGAATAAAACATTAAGAAAAGTGACTGCCCAATAAATGGAAAAGCCATTCAAAACAATTTGGTGCGATGTTTAGCTAAATCAGGGAAAGATTATTTTACTATATACCACGGCGGAATTTTATGCCCCTCCCCCACAAGCAAAATCGACGCAAACTTTTACAAAAATCTTACGCCCTTAAATGAACGCGTGCAAGCTTGCACGGTATCTCAAACGATAGGGAAATATAGTCTATTCAAAATAAATCTCTATTAAATCTAACCCAAAGATTTTTAGAAATTAGCGCTTTCTTTTTCCGATCTCATTCACAAACACTGGCTTCATATCGATAGGGACGCCTCCCACAACCTATCGATAAGTAGCACGTTAGAAAATATTCTTATTGACCATTTAAACAATTGTATAAAATATGCATGTCCCATAAATGTAATTGACATTCCAAGCATTTTGGTAGATGTTTCATCAAAATCCGTTCAGCCGTTCAAGAGAAAACATTCCTTTTTCATTTATTTCCATAAATGTTATTTCGAAGAATAAATATATCTGGCAGCACTGTCTGCCTAAAATTAAGTCAATTTGACTTAAACTTTATATTAAAACTTATGCATGCTAAAGATCGTACCATTAACGGGATCTCTATTCTGAACATTTTGATCCACGTTTCGTCTAAATCCGTTCAGTCGTTCATAAGAAATCTCGGCTTTTTCATTTATTTCCATTTATGTGACAGCAAAGAATAAATATATCCCGCAGCCCTGCCTGCCTAAAAACCAAGAAAACTTGATTTAAATTTTATGGTTAAACTTATGCAAAAGGAAGACTGTCCCATAGACGGCATCGCAGTTCTGGACATTTTGATCTATGTTTCCTCAAAATCCGTTCAGTAGCTAATGAGAAATCCCGACTTTTTCATTTATTCAGTTGGGTACCAGGGGTGCACAGTCATGCCTCCTTAGTATACAAATTAGTAATTCAAATGCTAATTTCTCCAAAACGACTGAACGGATTTCGATGAAACACATACCGAATTGCTTAGAATAACGATATCATTTATTGGGCAGACTATTAAATGTTATTTCGAAAATTTGCTTCTCAAATCTGGTGCTTCAATGCTCTTGCTTTGTTATATGATTTCAGGTCAAAAATTTCCAAAACAGTGAATAAATTATTTCCGACCCTATAAAATATATATATTCTTGATCAGCATCAACAGCCGAGTCTATCTAGCCATGTCCATCTGTCTGCAGTCACTTCTCTTAATGTTTTATTCAACAAATTGCTATTTTTATTTAATTTAGTATTTTTCTTAACATGGTTCCATGGTCTGGTTCATCGAGTGGCTCTCTGCTGGTTCCCATCTGGTTCCATTTTCATAGTACGCGCCTTAGATATCAGCCCAAATACAATACCCACTGTTATTCGATTTTCTCAAAATCTGACGGTTAAAAACAATTGAAATTTTCACCAAATATTCCTTAATCTTCTCCTAGTAAGCCTATACACCGTGCATATGTGCACGCGTTCGTAAATCGAAGATATATTCCTTACAATTTTGGATGCCCCATTTTGTATGGAGTCGACCCGAGGTTAGATCACTGTTATTTGATTTGATCAAAAACTGACGGTTTGAAGAAATTGAAACTTGGTAGGGTAAAACTAAAATAAATGTCCTTTATTTTGGCGTATCCGAGATATTAAGAAATCCGTGAAAACACGATTTTTCACATGGTTTTTTGTAATATATCCAACTGTCAAATACTTTCAAACCCAGTAAAAACAATAGTAAATTTATTTTTTAGCAACTTTAGCAACAACTTTATTTTATTCTAAATAATTATTCGAATTAATTAAAATTAAAGATCCCCTTCCATATTCCCACCGTTCCTTTTCGACGCTAATTTGACGGACATATAAGGGAAGCAATTTAATAAAATATACCTGACTCCAGGCACTTGTCAGCACTGTCAGTTCTCAAAAGGTGTTGCAAAACGCGAACTAGTTCCACTGAACGGAACCTGCCGACTTGTGCAATGTTTTGTAATCGTATTTACAAATAGTTTAAACTTAATTTTATTAATAAGAAATGCTGCGACGTGCGCAGTGCTTGCTAAGGCTGCACAGCCATGGACGCCAGTCAGTTGCCACCATCACCCGCCATCGAAGCTACTCGACGGATGAGGCTAATCCGAAAGAGAACCCGAAGGCGAATCCCAATCACAGGGCACAGAAACCGGCCAAAAACTTGCCGGCTGTGAGGAATCCATTCGCTGCAGCGCAGGATAGGACGAAGAACACCTATCTCACCATGGTGGAAATCTTTCAGGAGCGCGATGTTCACCGTCGCAACCATGTGGAGTTCATCTATGCGGCCCTCAAAAATATGGCTGACTTCGGAGTGGAACGGGATCTGGAGGTTTATAAAGCCTTGATCAACGTAATGCCAAAGGGCAAGTTTATACCCACCAACCTTTTCCAAGCGGAGTTCATGCACTATCCCAAGCAGCAGCAGTGCATCATTGATCTCTTGGAGCAGATGGAGGATTTCGGTGTGATGCCGGACTACGAGATGGAAGCGATGCTCCTCAATGTGTTCGGCAGGCAGGGACACCCTCTTCGAAAGTACTGGCGCATGATGTACTGGATGCCCAAGTTCAAGAACCTATCACCATGGCCACTGCCCGATCCAGTGCCGGATGATACGCTGGAAA